GTAGACAAGTTAGTTGGGCATGGAGACAGTGAATTGAGGGTTGAGTCTTCTTACGGGAATTCAAAGCTGCGGGTTGAATCCCGGTTCCACCCTTTACTAGGTGTTTTAACTTCAGCGAGTAACCACTTTAATCTGCCTCCTGTTGTGTAAAATGGGTCTGCACCGCTGCTCAATCTAAACACAGTACCAGGTATATCCTTGAGCTTTCACTGCTACCTATCAGTATTGAGTGGCCTCCCACAAGTCACGTAAGTTTTGGGAGGACGAGAAGGTTTCAGCTCTGTGAATTGTCTTTTGCCTCCCGTAGCACTTGCCTTGCTTTCCTCCAGAGTTCAAAAAACTAAAGTGCAGCTGGCCCGATAGGACAATAAGAAAACGTAAGGATTTGGTGATGTAGAATCCCGAGAGGGAGGAAGCTTGTGGGCGGAGCTTTGTATTAGGTTTGCATGCAGCTACGAGATTGGTCAGGAGGAGAATTCGACAACCCCCTCTTATGATCCCACCCTAGGACTCACTGCGCTTGCGCACGTCCTGTTTTCACCGTCGCGAACCCACTACGTGACCTTATAACGTATGTCGCACTCACGTCGCCTGTACGTCAGCCGCTAGCGCCGCCGATGTTTGGCAGGTTGTCCAGGTAACCGCGGGAGTCATCGGAGACCCGTGTCCGTCATGCAGTTGAAGCACCTGAGGACCCTGCTGAGCCCTCAGGTGAGGAATCCCTTGCCTCTCCCATTCTCCGGCCCCACCAGGCATTCAAAAAAAAAAAAAAAAAAAACGGGGAACAGAAGTTCATACTTTTGAGCTTCTACTTTGTGCAGAAGATTGTGAAAGATCTTTCTGCAGTCGATGTGCATCGCTAACAACTATAAGCTTTTATTGCATCTCATAGGTCAGTTGAGTGCCAGGCCCCAAACTTAGGCTCTACGGGATCAAATCTACCTGCATTACGTCAAGGCTCTTTCTGGAGGGAAAGGCGCATATATAGATCACGATCACAGCTCTACACAGGATGAAATAAACGCTTTAGATATAAGCCCTTACAAAGGTAGAGCGGAAGCTGAACTCTCTTTTGGATTGTGAAAGTGTGTCTCGGATGCAGAAGAGGCTGGGCACTGGGGGAGGAGCCCAGAAATATAAACGATTGGGTCTGGGAGTTAAGAGGACAGAATTTGTGTCTTGGCTTAGCTCCAACACTGAATTGACCAAATGGTATCTCTGGCTTTAACCCTCACCACACGCAGTCTTTCCAACACTAGCTTCTTCATCTGGTAAAGAAAAGTCACAGAGAGAGCAACTGTAAGCGACTTAGGAGAATGTTAAGTAAAGCTCTACACAGAACAGAGCCTTGTAAGCCTTAGTGGCACAGGATAGTAATCTCAGCAGTTGTGGAGGTAGGTGGGTCAGGAGTGCAAGGCCAGCCTGGGTTACATGAGACTCTTACAGAAAGGGGGCGGGGGTGAGGGGTGGGGGAGGCCTGTGAGGTGGCTCAGTGGCTAAGGTACTTGCCACTCAGCCTGACTACCTGAGTTTGAGCCCTGTGACCCCACAGTGGAAGGAAAGAACCAGCTCCTGCAAGTTGTCCTCTGACTGCCCCACACGTCCCACCCTACCATAGATGTAAAGAAAAGGATTTAAAGAGCATTATAAACTGAAAAGCCATGAGAAGGATGATTGACAAGAGAGAAAGACATTCCCAATTGAAAGGACAGGCTAACTCTGCACAGATGAGAAGGTTGGCCATGGAGGAAGTGACTCATCAGCAGCATGAGAAACTGAGTTCAGATCTCCAGCATCCTCCTCAAAGCCAGACACACCTGTAATCTCAGGGCTGCGAAGGCAGACAGGTGGGTCCCTAGAGTTCTGGTCCTAGACCTCCAGCCTAGCCGAGTTCGTGAGCTTTCAGTTCAGTGAGAGACTCTGTCTTTTAAAAAAAAAAAATAACTAAGGCGGAGAATGATTGTGAAAACACTTGCCTGGACCTCTGACCTCTATATGCACACACAGACAGGCACATATAACCTCCACCCCAGATACACACATGAGCAGACAGACAGACAGACCTACATACAAAACAAGTATGCAGTTTGCAGGAGATGTTGCTAGTGGTAGAGCACACACTTAACATACATGAGCCCTTGCTTTCTTCTCTAGCACTAAAAGAACAAGTCCTTACCTGACTGTGCTGTTACATGCCTGTGATCTTAGAATTTGGGAGACTGAGGCATGAGGATTACTGTGAGCTCAAAGCCAGTCTGAATATATACAAGACCTTTTAAAAAATAAGAGTAGCCAGCATGGTGGCTCATGCCTTTAGTCTGAACACTCAGAAGCAGGGGCAGGCAGATTTCTGTAAGTTCAATGCAAGTCTGGTTTACAAAGAGAGTTCTAAGGCTACGTAGAGAGACTGTGTCTCAAAAAATTATTCTAAATTATATATGGCAGAATTAAGTCATTAATACATATGCCACAACAGCAGAATTTTTTTTTTCCAGAGCTGAGGACCGAACCCAGGGCCTTGCACTTGCTAGGCAAGCCCTCTACCACTAAGCTAAATCCCCAACCCCTACAGCAGAATTAAAGACATTAGAGTTTTAGCATATGAAGTCAAACGTAAATGGATTCAAATATTGGCTCTGCCATCTAAAACCTGTATGTATAAACCTGAGCAAGTCTCTTAATTTTCAATGCCTCAATTTCTCCATATGTGAAATGGGAATAATAATAGCTTCTACTTCAGGGTTTTGAAATGTGGTACTTAATGGATGTCAAGCATTTATGAAAATGCCTGCCTGGCTCTGATTCACTCAAGACAGTCCAGTCAGAGCACGTACTGTAGAGAGAGGAGAATTCACTGATTGTGGAACTCAGGAATGTTTGCAGGGTGTGCAGATGGAGTCCTAGCTCAGGGGTAGACAATAAAAAGTTGTGCTCCTTGCAGGGTAAACTGGTGCTGTAATCTATAATTTCAAAAATACCCTAATGGAAAAATTGGCAATAGAACCCTTTGGTCTCTTAAAAAAAAAAAAAAATGCTGTCATGGTGCAGCTGGGCCAGATGCCCAGGATGGACTCAACCCAGGAAGGAGGGTGATCAGACAAAGCTGATGAAGCACCTGCACCCCCTTCTACCCCACTGTAGTGGATGGTTGGGTCATGACTATGGTGATAGAGTGGCTGTTTTCTGGCTCTGGTTTGGGGATTGGGTGTGATGATCCTTTTCCCTTCATGTTTTGAAGATATTTGGGTTAGGTTTGGTAAGTAGAAGTGTGTTAAGCCCAAGTGGCTAATCAGACATTTGGAATAGGAACTAAGTTTTCTTACAAGAACAGAAACTTTTTGTGGCAGAGCCTGAAGGGACCACAGCTGGCGCAGTGAGGGACAAACAGGGAGAATGGCGTCACTGGGTGGTAGTCACTTGTTTTCTCCTTTGGTTTTGTTTTTAAGACAGGTCTCATATAGCCCAGGCTGGCTTCAAACTTGCTGTGTAACTGAGGATGACCTTATCCATGTGATCCTCCTGCCTCCGGCTCCTGGGTGCTGGGATTTCAGGCGTGTGCCACCCCACCTGTCACTCTCATATTCTTTTTTGCCTGTTTACTTACTTAGCTTTTTGAGGTGCCAGGGGTCAAACTCGGAGACTCATGAATGTAAAACAAGCACTCCTCCAACTGGACTATCCATCAGCCTTTGCGGTGGCCACTTTTAACTCCAGACTTTCAAAACGCTGGGCGGGCTTTTAAGCAGGGAAAGAGGCCTTGTTTCCATTCTCAGTTGAACAAGTCTCAGTTCTAGTTATGCTACTCCTTCTTCCAAGGCTCTCCCTGGGGTGGCCCCCTCTATGCTTCCTGCCCTTCTTCTGCACTTGTGTACAGACTCTCGGCTCCCTTAAACTGCAGGTCCTTGACTTCCTTGTGCTATCCATCACATCTGAGGTAATTCATCATTCAATGATATCCGTCCTTCAGAGCTTAATTTTGATCATTTAAGCATAAAATTGTCTTGGGCTTCTCTAAATCATTCCTGCATTCAGTACAGTTTCTTCTTATGGGGCCTTTACAGTTTTGTAGCATCTTATTAGGTCCCAGGGTAGGATCTATCTATGATTTGCTCTTTGTCTCTCTGTCAGCTCCTGGCCAAGTGCCTTTCTTGATGAAATGCTTGAAAATATTAATTGAATGAGTAGCTATAAAGACGAACATTTATCAGACAAGTTGATTTTTTTTCAGTAGCAGACTTGAGAGATGAGGGAACAAGGAGGCTGTTGCTTTTGGAACAGCTGACGCCTTTCTTTTGTGTCATGAGTGTCAGAAAGTGCATTAGGGACTCAGGAGATGGGTTAGTAGAGTCAGTGTTTGGTTAGCTTGAGTGAAGCCCTGGGTTCCTTCCCTAGCATGGCATAAACTAGCCGTGATGGTGCATGCCTTGAATCCTAGCACTCAGGAGAGGAAGTCCACTAGGGATCAGAAGTTCATGTCACCCTTGGCTATAGAGTGAACCGGAGGCCAGTCGGGGTTACACAAAGCCCTAGATAACATTGCTGTACATTCTAGGTATACAAACCGTTTCTTTTATTTTGTTTCATTTTGAGGGAAACACTGTGACAAGGATGTAAAGCAAAGCCACAGTAGTGGCTGATGAGACTGGAAAGGCTTTGTACATTGTAGACCAGCTCTGTGGTTACATTAACTCTTCACCTCCACAGGATGGCGCTGCAAAGGTGACCTGCATGGCCTGGTCCCAGAACAATGCTAAATTTGCTGTCTGCACAGTGGACCGAGTGGTGCTGCTGTATGATGAGCATGGGGAGCGGAGAGACAAGTTCTCCACCAAGCCAGCCGACATGAAGGTGGGGAGGACCACTGCATGCCCTGTGCCCTGCCTGTGCCCCAACCTATCACTGGTGGGAAGTGGAGCACCCCTTTTCTCAGTATGAGTCTTCTGGGTCTATCAGGAAATGCATGTGTCTTCCTTTCTCTTTCATTCATACTCATTCAGTTTGTTTTGATTTCTAGTACGGCAGGAAGAGCTACATGGTGAAGGGCATGGCGTTCTCTCCTGATTCCACAAAAATTGCTATAGGACAGACTGACAACATCATCTATGTCTACAAGATTGGAGAAGATTGGTGAGGACAGATGTGGGCAGTGGGTGGCCTGCAAAAGAAGAGTTGGGCGTGAGAAATGCCTCACTGGGGTAGCGATAGGTGGGGAAGCGGCGTTTAGTGCCAGGATCAGGTGTGGGAGGCAGGGACTTTCTAGAGTCTGCTGTGTCCATGCCTTTGCCTACCCCACAAGTCTGCCAGTCCCATCCCTGGCAGAATGAGTGTAAGGCCAGTGACAAGTCCTGAAAGCCAGCATTCTGCTGTCTTTGATGTAGCTCCAGGGCTTCTTGGGCACCCACTCACATCTCCATCAGACCTTCCACTGAAGGATAGGGAACACCTGTGGGCCAGGAAAGGTTTCCTGTCTTGCTCTCCTCTATCACCGTCAATATGGAGCAGTTATTTTAAGCATGCTTCCATTCCTTTTGCTTGGCAGGGGTGACAAGAAGGTCATCTGCAACAAGTTCATCCAGACGGTAAATCCCAGAGTTTGTCTGCTTGTGAGTGTGACCAGGCACTGCCTTTGCTAAAGCTGGTCTGACCTGCTAAAGGATGGCACTGCCTGGCTGCTCATTGACATCTACTAAAGAGAGCCTAGTTGTCTTCCGTCCTCCATAGAGGACTTCCCCTGTAGAAGACTAGGGTGCTGTCTGTGGTGGGTGTCGGCTGTCATAGAGCTGCTAATCCACACGGGCGGGTTGTTCCTTTACCCTTGTGCATACAGAGTGCTGTCACTTGTCTGCAGTGGCCTGCAGAGTACATCATTGTCTTTGGACTGGCTGAAGGCAAGGTAAAGGAGGGGAGGAACACTGGGGTAGGCGTTAGGTGGGGGATAATGGTCCTGGGTCAAGGTCGGGGCAGCAGGGCTCATCCTTTCCCTGGAGCCCAAGTGGGCACTGCAAAAGAATGCAGGAGGACCAGTTTTGTTCATTTTGGGGTTTTGGCTTTGTTTCTCATGGCCTGGGAGAGATTAAAAGTAGTCTAGCCAGACTCATGTATATTCTTCAATTTTTTTTTTTCAGGTTCGCTTAGCAAACACTAAAACTAACAAGTCATCTACTATCTATGGGACAGATTCTTATGTGGTAGCGCTGACAACCAAGTGAGTTCCAAAAGTAACACTTGGAACTGTCAGGCACAAGTGCATTTGACAGAAAGCAGCTTTGTCAGTGAGGTGATGGTCTCTCCCTCTGTGTCTGTCTTTCCTCCTTTGCTCTTCAGCTGCTCTGGGAAAGGGATACTCTCGGGTCACGCAGATGGCACCATCGTGAGATATTTCTTCGATGATGAAGGCTCTGGAGAGTCACAGGTATGCTTAAAGCATCTTGGGGGGGCGGGGGGGGCATTCCCCCCGCCCTGGGGGGGGGAGGGGGAAGCTGCATGTCTAAGCACCATGAGCTAATGGGGGAGGAGGCTGGAAGAGTGTGATCTTAGAGAGAAGCATTTGGATGCCACCACAGAGATTTGTGTTTAGGAGGCTAGAGCTTACTATTTATAGCAAGGAGTGGGTGGAAGGGACCTTGAGAGAGGGGGAAATAAAGATTCTAAGGGGGACAAAAAGTGAAAAGTATTTCTGTTTATGTAAATATATACATATACACAAATATGTGTGTATATATACATATTTATGTAACACATATACATACAAATGTGTTGAGGGAAAAACAGGCCAGCAAGATAGCTCAGCAGGTAAAGGTGCCTGGTCCCGAGCCTGACAGGGCCCACGTAGTGCAAGGAGAGGAATGACTTCTCCAAGTCATCCTCTGTCCTTCACCCATGTGTGCACACACGCAGTGTACACACGCAGTGCACACCTGCAGTACTCCCAGTACACATACACACACACAAACACACACAAATAAATAAAACATTAGAGAGTAAACTCTTTTCTTTGAGAAAGAAAAGATAGGCATAAAGGGAAACTTTCGTGTTTTACTCTATATAATTCAGTTCTGTATAAATCATTTACATTGTGAGTTACCTGTATAATTAGACATAGCCTTCCTTGAAAAGAAGCCATATGCTCTCTTGGGCATACACAGTGTTGGCTACTGTGTGCTGTCTTCCTTAGGGTGCCCTCACTAGAATATACCCAAGATCTCTAACACCACTATGTCGCAATTTCTCTAGAGTACAGGGTCAACAATATGTGTATATGGTATGTGTGTGTTCATGATACAGAGCATAGTTTGTTAAGTCTTTGGGATCAGGATGTGGTGTTCTGGGAAAATATTGGCGGGAAGGTTTTCTTTCCTATGGTGTGGTATGGTCAGTCAAGGATGTGTGGGTCAGCCACTAGGACTGAGGAATTTCTAGGGTGGCATCCTCAAAGTAAAACTGAAATGTTGTGTCTCAGGGGAAGTTGGTTAACCATCCATGCCCACCCTATGCCTTGGCCTGGGCCACCAACAGCATTGTGGCTGCTGGCTGTGATCGGAGGATTGTGGCCTACGGGAAGGAAGGCCATGTGCTACAGACTTTCGACTATAGCCGTGACCCTCAGGAGCGGGAGTTCACCACAGCTGCTGCAAGTCCTGGAGGCCAGTCTGTCGTGCTGGGAAGTTATGACAGGTAGGTCCCTGTCTAGTTGCATCTTCTACCTTCCTTCTCTGTGAACTCTGTGCCAGGCAAGTCATTCTGGACCACAGTGGTAGCCTGGACAGAGGCAATGTCTATTGAAAAGGATTCACAGGTTATCATCCATTGGACATTGGCAGCTTCAAAGTACAGGGTGCTGCCTCAGCCTGTGATTCCACAGCAGAATTCATTGAATTCTTCATGTTCCCCTAAAGCCTCCTTCAGATTTTGAGTTTATCCCACAGTACCATAATTGTTGCTTCTGTTTTGAGGGACCCTTGAGAAGAAGGCTGGGAAGTCATCTTTTTACCTCCAGTGCCTACATTGGCATCTGGTATGTGATTATATCCAGTGTTTAGTGAGTGAATAAAGAGTGACTCGGCAGATGTGCAGCTGGGGTCTGGGTCCCCTGTGTCTGACAGTTCTGTGTCTCTCAGTCTCTCAGTCTATTTGTCCCTCTCTGCTTTGACTCCTCCCACTTCATTCTTCCTCTGCCTGCGATCCTGGCAGCTCATCTTTTTTGTTTGTCCTGCTTTCTCCACTTCCGTCCTTTGGGGTTGTTTTTTTTGTTTTGTTTTTTGAGATAGGACCTCACTCTGTAGCCCTGAATAGCCTGGAACTCACTAGGTAGACCAGGCTGGCCTCAAACTTGCAGTGATTTCTCCTGTCTCTGCTCACCAAGTGTTTTCATTACAGGTGTGCCTTGACTTTCCAAACTCCCTTTGAAGCCTCTTGCCCTCCCTTGCCGGGCTGCCTTGCAGACCTTCCTCCCTGGGCTGCCTTGCTGGCCCATTCGTTTGCCTTAGCTTCCCTTTCTGGTAGACTGAGACTGCTTTCCTTTAGTTATTCATCTTCACTCTTTTGCTCTGCCCTCATCTCATCTAAAAGCCACAAACCTTTCTAGACTTCGGGTGTTCAACTGGAGTCCTCGAAGAAGCATCTGGGAAGAGGCGAAGCCCAAGGAGATTGCTAACTTATACACCGTCACGGCCTTGGCCTGGAAGCGGGATGGCTCACGACTCTGTGCGGTGTGTATTTAGTAACCCCTTTCTGTATTGGTGATAGTCTCCAGACTAGAACAAGATACTCCTTATGCCAGAGCACTCCACTGTGGCACTGTGCCTTGTGATGTCAACCTAAAAATCTGCTGTTAAAGGCAAGAAAGGGAAATGTATACCATTGGAGGCCTCAAGGGACAGTTTTCCAGATTTCTCCCTCTTTATCCAACCCACATGTGATGCCTGTAAGTTCTAAGGTCAACACCTCTTTAATTCTGATAGGTCCCAAACCTGCCTGCTCCTTTGCTGACTAATCATCTCTAGACTGTAACACCAAGGTTTGAGGTCTTGAGGGTATCTGACACCTTCCCCATGCCCCTGCACCATTCGTTGCCTGTCATGCTGTGTTCTCCCCCAGGGAACGCTCTGTGGTGGGGTGGAACAGTTTGACTGCTGCCTCCGAAGGAGCATTTACAAGAACAAGTTCGAGCTGACGTATGTGGGCCCTAGCCAGGTGAGCAGCCAATGGCCTATCATGCTGAGATCTCTCGGGGCTTGGGGCTCATTCATCTGTGTAACATTTTCCCACCTGCTGGCTGCAGCCACAGTCTCTACTTTAGCCTTCTTCATCCTTGTGGCAGAGCTGTTTTGGAGAACAGAATGTGTCAGGGTAACTTCCTGACAACTTTCTTGCTACATGACTGTCCCAGCACCAGGCTCTAGCGTACAGGGATTGAGTTATCTTTCTGGTATAAAGCTGTCTGCTCCAGTGCTGCCCATGAGAAGCATTGATGAGCAGGCTTACAAATGAGCTGTAAAGCTCCGGGACCCTGTTGTTTTAGAGGTGTGCTTCTCACGCTTCTCTGCCCTTCCCTTCCTTTATTGTCGATTTATTCCTTTATCTTTGTATGCTCTCACCTTTAGCCATACCCACACACATAATCAACAATCTTTAAAAAAAAAATAGACAATGTGGCCCATGAGTCTGAGGCCAGCCTGGTCTACAGATAGCAAGTTCTAGGCCAATTTGGGCTACATAGTGAGACCTTGTCTCAAAAACAGAAACAAAGCAGAAGCTGAATGTTGTGGGTTACCCTGGAAATTACTATAGCAGTTGAAGAAAAAGAAACTCTTAGCACTTAGGAGGCTGAGGCAGGACATTGGCCAGTTGGAGGCCATCTTTGGCACATAGGGAGACTCTCTTAAAAACTCAAAATAATAATAAATAATTATTTATTATCATTATTTATTATGTTTAATTACATTATCAATTAATATTATAAATTATCATTATTATACAGTAGTCTATCTTAATAGGTAGAGAGACTTGTACTAAGAGCTGTGGAAACAAAGTGAGAGATTGGTTCGATTCAGTAGAACTTGCAGAATCAAATGTATCATGCACAGCAGAAGAAGGACTGTGGATGTATTTCCTAAGTAGCAAATCCCCATGTGAGTGTAAGGCATTGCCGTTGTCAACAGTGTCCCCGGCCAGGCGTGGATGCAGGCATCCGCTGTGTTCAGCATCCTGGAGGCATGTGAGGGGCAAGCACCTTCGCTCCTCCTCTGTGCTGGGAAAGCCTGAAGGGCTCAGACTTGTCCCTTACCAGGTGATTGTGAAGAACCTGTCTTCGGGAACCAGGGTGGTACTCAAGTCACACTATGGCTACGAAGTAGAAGAGGTGAAAATCCTGGGAAAGGAACGTTACTTGGTGGCTCACACATCAGACACGCTGCTGCTGGGGGACCTGAACACGAACCGCCTCAGTGAGGTGGGGACCGAGGATGGAAGACGGGGTGACGGGACGTCCTTGCTAATTCTGGGGACCAGGACCCCAAGAAGTAAGATCCCCAAAAGAGGCCCTGACATTCTGATGTTGGTGACCTTGTTCCAAGGGACGAGAGGTGTAGAATCCTGGAGTGTGACTTTCCACAGTCTGGCTGTTTTTACACTGCCGGCTCTTGGAAGTGTAGGAAACGGGGCAAGGATCTGATACAGAGCATCTTGTGTGTGATACTGAACCCCCCCCGAACGAGGTCTCTCCTCCTCTGCAGTGACATCCTTCCAGCCTTGTCTTGGGTAATTGTCTACATTGTCTCTGGTGTTTTCTCCTCACTTTGCAGATAGCCTGGCAGGGATCTGGTGGCAATGAGAAATATTTCTTTGAAAATGAGAATGTAAGTAAAACTCAGCCCCTGCCAGCATTTCCATAAACCTCATTCCAGCTCCTAGTCAGAAGGCTAAGTGGGAGGGGTGGGAGGCAGCAGATAGAGGGTGGGGTCAAGCAGGAAACCTTGAGAAGGGAAGTCACCCTAAACTATACCACCCCTTCCACTGTTTTTCTCCCTTTCTCCCCAGGTATGCATGATCTTCAATGCTGGAGAGCTCACCCTAGTGGAATACGGGAGTAATGACTCCTTGGGCTCTGTCCGCACTGAATTCATGAACCCTCACCTTATCAGGTAACCTTAAGGTTCTCTGAACCCTTGAAAGCCAGAAGAATTCCTTCTGAACTTCTAAATTGTGTTTAGATTGCCCCCAGATCAGTCTGAAACTTCATCCATGTGGTCCCCAGAACCCTCACTAAGACCCCTTTGCCTTAGCATGTCCTTCATGTTTCAGCGTCCGTATCAATGAACGCTGCCAGCGAGGAATGGAAGATAATAAGAAATTGGCTTATCTTGTTGATATTAAGACAATTGCTATAGGTAAGTTGCTCTTATAACTTTAATAACAAAAAACAGACACCTGTACTGTACTCTGTATCACAGGATTGTGTCAAGGAAGTATCTAGGAAACTGAAAGGCACCAGGTAATCCATTTTTACAGCGTTTAAGTCCCTGTGGGCATGCCTGTGGTAAGTACCTAGCTGTGCATACAGATACGCAGGCCTGTCAATATAGTTACCATCTATCTCAGGGCCATCAAGTCATGAACAGTAGAGAACTATCAGCAACTGCAGGAATTTTCCTGCTTAGAGATCGTCACATCATAGACTTTTAGAACTCGAAGGGCCATCATTGTTTTCAATCCCTTGTTAGTAACTAGTAATAATAGAAGCTTAATTTTCATTCTGCAAGTATCACATTTATAATCTTTATCATTTTCTCCACCAAATGTTACAGGCCACAAGAATAGCACAGTACTCTCTAGAAAGTACAGACATGAGAATGCACATGCAGCTTAGCTGTAAGAACGGGACTCTGGTCAGCTAGCCCCCACCCCACCCCCACCCCCACCCCCATCTGCACTTGGTGCACTTAGGTCCTTGCCTGATGCAAATTCTGACTGTTGATGGTCGTGACATATTATGACATATTATTAAAACTTGCTTGCCCATGCCTAGTTCTGTCGAACCTAACATTTTTTGTTGTATTTACATTGAGTCTTTTGCTTCAGTCTTACTCATGGCATTTAAAGTGTTAAGTTTTAAAAGATTTATTTTTCTTTTATATGGTTGGCACTTTTGCCCACACATATGAGTGCGCGTGTACGTACCATATGCATGTCCAGTGCTCTTGGAGGTCATGCCACTCTCTGCTGAGTGTATGCTTAGGGTGGAATTGCTGGATCTGAGAAGAGCTGTGTTTTCAACTTCACTAAGTATTTCTCGGCTGCTCTCCACGGAGGCTGACCAGCTTCCTTCCATTCCTCTCACAGTCTCTCCCTCCGAGTCTCGGTTGTCTGGTGTGTGTGAAATGCTCCTGCGTTTCATATTGTCACTCAGATGTCTTCTTCTGTGAATTTCAGTTCTCACCCCGTACACATTGTGAAAGTCAAGTCGTCTCTGTTAGAGATGTGAAAGTCTTTACATATATGTGTGTGTGTGTGTGCGTGTGTGTGTGTAGCCTCTGATGGTTACTTACATTGCAGATTTTTTTCTCAGTCTGTGGCTTGACTTTCTCTTTTTAGCATCTTTAGTATTCAGACATTTAAATGTTGTTATACTTGTTTGTGCATTGCTCTTGGAGGAAACATGTACACATGGCATTCAAGTGGAGGTCAAAGGGCAACAGTGAGTTCTTTCCTTCTTCCATGTGGGTCTAAGGGATCAAACTCTAGCCCTGCATCACCACCTTTAAAAATTAAATAGGGGCCAGCGAGTTGACTCACATCTCCAGGTGCTGAGGGCTTGAGGGGGAAAGTACTCCTGCAAGCTGTCTTCTGACTTCTACATGTGCTCTTTGCAAATTAAAAATAATTAACAGGTAATTAAATGTTGTTCTTGTTTTTGTTTTTTGAGACAGGCTTTCTCTGTGTAACCTTGGCTGTCCTGGAACTCACTCTGTAGACCAGGCTGGAAAAAAAATTTTAATAAGAAAGACTTGAGGCTGGGATGTAGCTTGGTGGTAGAGAGCGGCGGGCCCTGTGTTTAGGCACCAGTACCGCAGACATGACAGTAACTGTGTAGCTGATTCTAAGAGCTTGTTTAAGAACTTTCCCCCATTCCTTCCTATATTTTAACATTCTCAAGTTCTGCTTTCCACCTGGACTTTATTTTTGTATTTGATGTGGGTAGGGTTTTAACTTTATTTCTTCCATCTGTTTAACCATTTACCCACTGGTTTGTTATGCCATCCCTGTCATAAATGAAGCTTTCATACACATATGGGCCTCTTAAGATAGTTTCATATTTCATGAATATTACATTTCACATCTAAGCTCAGAAATGCAGGTATCTGCAGTGGAAATGATATGTAGGCCAAGAGACCGAAGACTCTAGTAGCAGTGATAAACCATGACAAACCTTGAGACTTCAGACAAGTTCATTCATTCTGAATGGTTGATAAAATACACACACACACACATACACACACACACACACACACACATATATATATATATGTATATGTATATACGTATATATATATATATATATATATATATATATATATATACACATTATACATATACATACATACATACATACATATAGACAGACAGACAGACAGATAGATAGACAGACAGAGTTTGTCAATTATCCAAGTCACTAGTCCCTTTAAATATAATGAAAATTATTAACATTTTCCCAGAAAAAAAAGTGCATATACGTAAAACTTTGTGTGTAGTTTGAGGGTTCATGGGGATCTCTTGCTGCTCTGACATGGCTTGGCTTGGCTTAGTTTTAGTTGCTGTTTTGTTTTGTGGTTTGGTGGTTTAAGCCAGGGTCTCATATAGCCCAGATTTGCTTTGAATTCCTGATCCTCCTGCCTCAGACCCTTAAGTACTGGGATTATAGCTAGGAGTCACAATGCCTGGTGTCATAATCTCCATGTCTCCAAAGTTAAGACTCTGCCACAGGCTGGCTCGCCTCCAGCTGGTCACCTTCCTGACTAGGCCTTTCTGCCTTTGCTGGAAGTCTGGGTGTGAGCTACGGAGCCCACAGAGCCTGGCTGACTCAGAGGCTTCCTTCCGCTCTGTCTGTGGTCCTCCACTCTTCGGTGCTGTCTCGCCTTGGGCAGCCCATTGCTCAGGTGGTTCCCTGGAGTTCGATGTCACTAAGGCCGTCTCATTCATCAGTTATCTCTAGAACTGGGAACCACACTCACCCATTTTCAACTTGTTGTTTCAAGACAGGGTCAGACCAGGTAGCTGGATATGACCTGCATAGAAGGGGCTGGCCTCAAACCCCCACTCTGTGCCTCAGCTTTCTGAGGGCTGGGATGATAGCCATATACCATCATTTCTCCACAAGACCTTCTAGTCAGCTGCAAAGTCAAGTAAAACCATCTGTAACTCTAAACACATTTCTTTTTTTTTTTTTTTTTTGGTTTTTTGAGACAGGGTTTCTCTGTATAGCCTTGGCTGTCCTGGAACTCACTCTGTAGACCAGGCTAGCCTCGAACTCTCGAACTCAGAAATCCGCCTGCCTCTGCCTCCCAAGTGCTGGGATTAAAGGCGTGCGCCACCACCGCCCGGCTCTAGACACATTTCTTAACTTTCTTGTGTCTTTGTGTCTGTGGCTGCATCTAGCCTGGGCTGGACTCAAACTTGCTCTGTGACTGGCTTTGAACTGATCTTCCTGCCTTTGCCTCTTAAGTTCTGGGACTATAGACATGGAATACCACGTGGCAAGACCCAGTTTTTAAAGCATTCTAGAAAAACTGTTCTGTATTGGTTTTTGCAGTCCCCACTGATACCCTTGGACTGATAAAATGTTTTTAAAGCCCAGCATGATTATAAGACCATATGTACAGACCAACTGCATCCTTATACATGGCTGGAATCACCCTTCTTACCCTGTCTTCTTTGCAGTGGATCTGATTGGTGGTTACAACATTGGTACTATCAGTCATGAAAGCCGTGTGGATTGGCTGGAACTTAACGAGACTGGACATAAGCTTCTCTTCAGGGACCGGAAACTTCGTGTGAGAGGGGTTATTCGGGCCTTAGGCATAGGTTGGTCCAGAGGGTGTGAAATAAGCTGTTACCAGGGACTGTGGTGGGCAATGCAGAACTAAGTTCTTGGTTCTGTATGCCATTAGCATAGCAGAAAGAACAAAGGACTTTCTATATTCTATCATTCCCTGTCCGGTGTACTCTGAAGGAGATCAGCTTATAATGAGAGAAAAGTCAGGAAGGGTGTTTGAGAGTTGGTTTCTCTCTTACTGTTTGCAAGTCCATGTCCTTGTGAAGCTATGTCCCCCTCCCCAGTTCTAGCTGACCTTTGCCACACTTAGCTCAAGGCATGGAAGCTGGCCTGAGTGATCCCTTGAGTAACCCTGACATACTCTTTTCTCAATACGGCATCACCAAAGAGATTAGCCTTTCCTGAGATTGTTCATTTCAGGAAATGACCCACTGTAAGTTGTCAGCTCATGTACTTTTGTTTGGTAGCCTCTTTAGTCTGGTCCAGGCTTACTCTGAGAACGAAAGTCTGACCTTCACCTCCCAGCACCTTGACTGTAGGTCGTAGCTCATTTGCTCATCTCATCCTAGCCCAGCTTACAGTCGACTCCAGGGGCTGGAGGCTCATTTTCCCACTGGGGAAATGGGCAGGGTCAGATGCTGTCATCACACCCCCTTTTAACTGGGCTGTCTCCCTCCTCCTCCAGTTGCATCTCTACGATATTGAAAGCTGTTCTAAGACAATGATCCTCAACTTCTGCTCCTACGTGCAGTGGGTTCCCGGGAGTGATGTGCTGGTAGCTCAGAACCGAAACAGCTTATGTGTATGGTACAATATCGAGGCACCTGAAAGAGTCACCATGTCCTCAATCAGGGTATGTTGATACCAAGAGACCCCACACATGTGGCCGTGTAATTAATTAGAACCCTGAGGAGAAGACTGTGCAGGTTGCTTTGGTTTCTTTGTGGACCACCCATAATCTCTGTGATGAATCTGGCAAGCACAGGCTGTACCCTCTCCCCATTAGTGGCCTGTCCTCCACAGTCATCCTTGCTTGGGTTTCCTGACCTTGTGTTAGATTCCTAGAGTGGAACCCACACTGCAGTGACCCTGAGGCCATATGAAGTCACTGTGTGATACTCTCTAGTCTAGAAGATAGACCCAGTGGGAGGGATGGTCCCATGCATTCACCCTTGTACCTGTTCGCTGTTACAGGCCATTCAAAATTCCTCCTTCCTCAAATTACACATAAAACACTGCACTGTCCCATCCTAACATCACACACCCACCTACCTACCTACCTACCTACCTACCTACCTACCTACCTTGTTAGAGATATCCTAGAAAGCTTAACAAGTACTTACAGGCTCAAATTAGCCAACCTGTAACCTTCTCTCCCTTACAATAATACAAGGACCTTGGAAGTCTTTAATTTTGATTACTTCCCTTTTTGATTTATTGTCCAGTATTTTGATTCTAACATTTAAATTACATTTATTTATTTTATGTGTATGTGTACACACACACATTCATAGATACCGTGGCATGCATGTTATGGGAGTCAGCTCTCCCCTTTCACTACATGATACTGGTATTGAGTACAGGCCCGAGCCGTCTCTGGCTCTTAGTTGTGATCTTTGTTGTTGTTGTTGCTGCTGCTGCTGTGCTGGGATCAAACCCAGGACTTTAGGCATGATACAGAAGTTTTTACCACTGTGCTTTTAAATTACATGCAGTGGGTTTCTAGAAGTAAACCTTTTGTTTTGTTTTTTTAAGAAAATATTTATCTCACGCATATGTTTGTTTTACCTACATGCATGCTTGGTGCCTGTGGAAACCAGAAAAAGGTGTTGGGTCCCCTGGAACTCGAGTTATAGATGGTTATATGCTGCCATGTGGGTGCTGGGAACCAAACCCAAGTCCTCTGTAAGAGCTATCCTGTGAGTTCTCTCTCCAACTTTAACTTGAGTCTTTGTAGCCAGTCTATAGTCTGGCTACAAGCCCTTGCTAGTTCTGAATTTTCTGCAGTCCTGCCTTTACTCCTCAGCACCTCCTGCTGGAATTCCAGCCGCCATGCCTGGCTCATACGCTCTTTTTTTAACTCCCAAAATAAGCATCATTCATATTTGTTCTCTTACTCTTTCTCCCCGCCTCTTCCGATGACCTAGAACTGGGACTTGTTATGTAGCTCAGGCTAGCCTCTTGCCTCTCCCTCCCTAGTATCACAAGCATGGGCCACCACACATTATTATTTTTTATAGACGGAACTTGGATTCTCCACCAGCCTGTTTATTTCTTACCTTTTCTTCCTGCAATGTTGGCCTCCCTTCGGGAATGGTTTTTCTTCTTGGAGAATCATTTAGAAATCCCTTAGGTGAGAGCCTCATTAGCGGAAAATTATAACCTCTCAGTTTTTGATAATCTGAACATGCTTTTGTTTGGCTTTTGTTCTAATAACACCTTTAGACTCAGTACCTAAGTTTAGATCAACAGCTAACTTTTCTTAGTGTTTTGTAATGTGTTATCCCAATAATTCACTTGCATGTTCTGAGAAATTTATTAGCAGCTCTTTTCTCTTTGGTTGCTTGGAAGATTTTTATTATTATTATTTCTAATTTGTGTGTGTATGTGTGTGTGTGTGTGTGTGTGTGTACATGTACACAGATGAGGGCAGGTACCTGCTGAGGCTAGAGGAGAGCATCAGGTCCCCTAAGCTGGAATTACAGGCTGCCCTGAGCTGCCCGACGTAGGTTCTGAGAACCAAACTCAGGTCATCTGCAGGAATAGTGCACACCCTGAGCCCTCTTCTCGAAGCCCTCTTTGATTGCTTTTAAAACTACTTTTCTTAAATATTTTGACACTATACTATAATTTGCCTACATGATATTTCTTCTCCTTGTGACGGTGTCTTGCTATATAGGACAGAGTGGCCTCAAGTTCCTGGGCTCAGTCAATCTCTGTCCTAGCTGCCTGAGAGGTGGGGACTGTAGACATAGGCTACTTCACTAGGTTAGAGACTTGGGGGTTTGTCTAGGGGATACCTAGCAACTGAACCTAACTATTGGAAGTAAAATCTCTAGTACTGAGATTTTAAATTTTTTATAAAGATTTTTTATAAAGGCTGTACCTCTTGCCTTTATATATACATTTAAATGTTATTCCATTCAGCACATGTTGTGTTTCCTGTAATTGTGAACACAAATAGCCTCCCCGGTCTTGGGAACTTGTCAGCCGTCCTCTCCCAGGAATTCTAACCAGGCACACATTGCACTCCTCCTCCTGTCTCGTTGGCCTTTTCAGCCTCGTTTGTGTTTCTTTCTTCTTGCTCATGAACATCGTGCAGGTTATCGTTAGCTCCACCCTTCAGTCCAGCTGTTCAGTCTCCATGCTTGTCTGCTCCTCAAGCTGCCGCTGAGGTTTGACTCCAGAAACTAAATCTGGGCTGGGAACTTGTTCATGCTCAAAGTCACAGATAAATTTCATTTGACTCTTTTTCCAGTATCCTGGCTACTCCATAGCTTTTCCTTACTTAGTTTCCCATGTCATCTGTGTATCTCTAAATATGTCATACGTGATCTACGTGTTGTGGTGGTGGTGGTGGTGGTGGTGGTGGTTTGTTTGGTTTGGTTTGGTTTGGTTTTTTGGCTTGGTTTTTTTTTTTTTTTTTTTTGAGACAGGATTTCTTTGTATAGCCCTGGCTGTCCTGGAACTTATTCTGTAGACTAGGCTGGCCTCGAACTCAGAAATCCTCCTGCCTCTGCCTCCCAAGTGCTGGGATTAAAGGCATGCACCACCACTGCCCGGCTTTTTTACTTTTTTTTTTGTTTGTTTGTTTGTTGTTATTCTTGCTTTTAAAGATTTATTTATTCATGTATTTTATGTATACAATGGCTGCTCTGTCTTCATGCACACCAGAAGAATTGGATCCCATTACAGATGATTGTGAGCTAACATGTTGCTGGGAATTGAACTCAGGACCTCTGGAAAGAAGTCAAGTGCTTTTAACCACTGAGCCATCTCTCCAAACCCCATAACTGCTATTCTTAATACCTAAAGTTCTTAAAGCTCTAAAGTTGCTTATAGTTACAATTTACCCTTTCATACTGGGTTTGTGTGTGTGTGTGTGTGTGTGTGTGTGTGTGTGTGTGTGCGCGCTCACACTCCTTACTCTCACTGCTGATTGATCTGATTTTAGAGCCTAAGATGGACTCGTTTTCTACCATACATGGTTTGTTTGCTTCTGTAGCAGTCAGCAGTCGGCGTGTTAAGGATGAATTCTATGTGCTTTGGCTCCCTTCACTACAGCGTGGACCCAGGTTTACTGAAAGGTTTTGTGCCTCAGCCTCTCCATCCTACTAAAGGGCTCGAGGCCCCTCTTCCTGTGCTTGCCTTCAGGGCGGCTCCGCCTCTTCCTCTCCTCTCTTTCTGTCTTCCTTGCTTCTTGGCCTTTGCTCTTTTGTCTGATCTCTTTTATTTTTATTTTTTAAGGGAGATGGGTAGCATAGATGTGGGGAACATCTTTAGTGATGTCTTCATGTAAACTCAGCAGCACATGAAAAAAAAGTATGTTCTGGGTTTGGGTTCAAGTTGTAATTTAAAAGGAGGACCCTCAAGAATAATCTGGGGCCTGGTGAGATGGTTCAGTGCATAAGGGTGCTTGCCGCCAAGCCTGTTGACCTGAGTTCAGTCTGTAAGGCCCACATAGATAGACACATGCACTAAACAAATAAATGTGTTATATATATATATATATATATATATATATATATATATATATATATAGAGAGAGAGAGAGAGAGAGAGAGAGAGAGAGAGAGAGTACACTTAGTCTGGGAGTTGACAAGATAACTCATTTGGCAAATTGATTGTTTTTCAAGTAGAGGGAACTCAATTTGAGTCTCAGAACATACACCAAAACACTGAGGCATTATTCACTTATAATCCTAGACCTGGAGAGGCAGGGATAGGCAGATCCCTGGGGCTCAGCCCAGCTTACTTGGTAAATGCCAGGGCAAAACAGAGATCCTGGCTCAGGAAAGAAGAGGTGGAAAGCCCCTGAGGAATGACACTCAAGCGTGTCTTCCAGCCTTCTCATGTGGACACGCACAATCACACGAGTGTATACACACACACACACAGACACACACACACACACACACATCTTAGCCCTGTAGTACTGCTGAATAACTGGTATCCCTCCAGGCACTGGAGCTGACATCGGTTAACTTTAGCCCAAGGATACTGCCACAGCTCTGGCATTTTTATTAGCCTGGAGAAGTACAGTGATAAGACACAAGGCCACTGTCATTCCCTCCGTGTGAACCCCGGGTTAGGTGGGAGCAGGCCTGCTCTGCAGCTGGGGGCTTGGAAGCACTAACCTGGAACTGGGTGGTGGGGTGGCCTGTTTCAGGGTGATGTTGTTGGTCTGGAGCGAGGTGGTGGGAAGACAGAGGTCATGGTAACGGAAGGAGTGACTACTGTGGCCTACACCCTGGACGAGGGCCTGATTGAGTTTGGAACAGCTATCGATGACGGCAACTACACCCGGTGAGAGGCTGCTGACAGCCAGTGTGGTAGTGAGCCAGTGTGGGTCTAGGGGATACCTTCAGTGACCCCTTAAACTGCCACAGCTCATGGGACCCTGTGATCCTAGGAAGACTCTAGACAAGAAAGGCAAATACTTGTGGCCTTTGTTCCTCCCCTTTTCCCGCCCAGCACCAGTGTTCCCCTGCTTCTCTCTGTCAGATTCAGCTTCTTCACTCCTGCACTTTGCTTCCTCTCCAGGGCTACAGCCTTCTTGGAGACCCTGGAGATGACCCCAGAAACAGAGGCAATGTGGAAAACCTTGAGTAAACTGGCCCTGGAGGCAAGGCAGCTTCACACTGCTGAGAGGTAAGAGCAGTGTGGATCTGAGATGCTGGTAGCTAGGAGGCCTCTGGGTCCTCATCTGGGTGCTGCTCCTGTCCTGTGTGCAGGCATTGCCCCACCCTACCCCCACTGCTAAGGTGTGAGCCCTCACTGGTGCACTTACAAACACCCACCCATCCTAGATTCGAAGAATATATCTTTTTTAAAGTAGTTTTAAATTATGTGTATACGAATGTCAGTGTGTGGGTCTGTGCACATGAGTGCAGATGCCCACCAAGGTCAGGAGAGAGTGTTGCCTCCCCTGGAGCTGGAGGCTCAGGTGGTTGTGAGCTTGATGGAGGTGCTGGAAATCAAACACCAGCCCTCTACAAGAGCTCCCCACATTCTAATTTGCAGAGCCATCCGTCTAGCTTTGAATATGCCTTAATATTTTTTCTTCCCTTTCTTTGCAAGGTTCCCCTTTAAGAGGTTGCTTGTCAGCTGGACAGTGATGATGCACACCTTTAATCTCAGCACTCAGGACACAGAGGCTGAAGGATCTCTGAGCTCAGGACAGCCTGGTCTACAGAGCGAGTTCCAGGACAGCCAGGGCTCTACAAAGAAATCCTGTCTCCCCCCCCAAAAAAAACCAAAAATCCCAAGTTCTGGGATTAAAGGCATGTGCTGCCACCACCACCTGGCTAGTTACTCTTAGTTGGGTCTGTGTTAGTCACTTTTGCATTGCTATGATAAAACACCATGACCAAGGCAGCTTAGAAAAGAAAGCATAAAATAGGCTTATAGTTCCAGGGGGTTAGACTCCATGATGGTAGAGTGAAATCATGGTGGCCTAGATAGCTGAGAGCTTACATCTTGGAACCAGCAAGCAGAGAGCACTGGAGCTGGCAGAGAGCTTTTGAAACTTCAAAGCCCCACCCCTACTGACACGCCTCCTCCAACGAGGCCATACCTCCTAATCCTTCCCAAACAGTTCCACTAACTAGGGACCAAGTCTTCAAGCATCTGAGCCTGTGGGAGGCATTCTTTTCCAAACCACCACAGTGTGTACGTGTGAGGGTCTATGTGTGGGTCTGTCCACGTGAGTGCTGGTTCCCACAGAGGCCTGCAGAGGCCTGATGTATAGGTTCCCCGAGAGCCAGAGTTACAGGCAGTTGTGAGCCTCCTGATGTAGGTTCCAAGGAAGTGTGGCAGTGGTGATGGTGATGAAGAGCAATAAGAGAATTAGTCCAAAAGGCTTATGGGACTGTGAGTGCTTAGCACATATCAGCTGCTTCTGGGAAGTGGCCTTGAGCTTTTCCATCTTCTGCCCCTCCCCCCTCACGCCCACACAGGCTATCAGCAAGTCCTAAGGACTCCATCTTATCTGTTCACTTTTTACTTTTTAAGGTGTATTTATTTTTATGTGTATGTCTGGTTTGCTTGCATATATATTTTGTGTATCTGGTATACATGGAATCCAGAAGATGGCATCAGGTCACCTAGAACTGGATTTACAGATGGTTGTGAACCTCCTTGTGGGTGCTGAGAGCCAAACCCTAGTCCTATACAAGAGCAGTAAGTGCTTAACTGCTAAGCCATTGTTCCAGCCCTGATTTTGTTTTTATAGTCCTGGCTGACTTAAATTCCATATGTAACCATGGGTAACCTTGGAATTCTGATCCTCCTGTCTCTAACTCTTGGTACTAAGATTACAGGCTTGTACAACCACACCCTATTTATGCAGTACTGGGTGGTGTGTGCCACCAACACCTGGAAAAACCTTTCTTCTTCTTTTTTTTTTTTTTTTTTTTTTTTTTTTCGCCGAGACACGGTTTCTCTGTATAGCCCTAGCTGTCCTGGAACTCACTCTGTAGACCAGGCTGGCCTCGAACTCAGAAATCCACCTGCCTCTGCCTCCCAAGTGCTGGGATTACAGGCGTGCACCACCACTGCCCGGCTGGAAAAATCTTTCTTAGAACCATCAATTAGAAGCCTAGAGACGTACCTCAGTCAGTAGAGTCCTTGCCTAGCATGCTGGACTTCATCTCCAGCACCACATGTACCAGCCGTTATAGCACACACCTATAATGTCAGCACTTGGGAGGTGGGGCAGGAGGATCAGACGTTCAAAGTTATCCTTGACTATATAATGAGTTCAAGACCAGCTTGGGCTACATGAGACCCTGTTTATAAAACAACAAAATACATTATATTATATAATTGTTTTCTGCCCAGAATTTTCTAATACCTTATTGCTACATTCAATATAAAATCTAGACTGCTTGCTGCAGCCAGTGGCCCTGCAAGTATTTGCCTCTGCTTCTTTCTTATCCCATTAACTGCTTGCCCATAGTCTCTAGCCACACTGTATCCTTTGGCTCTGAGCATGCCCTACTCACCCTTGCTCCATTGTTGCATGGCCACCCCTTCCATCCCATCTTGCCAAGACTAACTCTCTTAAAATGTTTCTATTTGCGTCTATTAACCGTACGTACTAATAGGTTTCCTTATGGTACTGTAATGTGCTTTTTTTCACATTTATCCCATCTCCCTGTCTTGTCCCCTCTCACTCTCTCTGATCCCCTTCTTCCCAGCTAGTCCCCCTTCTCCCTTAATCTCTCTGTTTAATGATTGAGTGAGTTCCTCTAGAGCCGCTTACAGGAGCATGGGCACCTTACCAGTGGCTACACCACTGAAAAAAGCGTGCCCTTCCCCACCCTCACACCAACCATTAAATGCCCATAGATCTTGAGGGAGGGGCGGGGCCTTCTGAGTGTCTCTCTCCCCATAAAGAGATATTGTGGGTCCCCACATGCCACAGCCATGTCAGCCTGGAAGACAGCATTCCACAACACACTGCTTTCTTCCAACTCGTACATTCTTTCCAGTCCTTCTTCCGAGATGTTCCCTGGACCTTTGTGGGTGTACATACATTCCATTTATAGCCAAGCACCCAGCACTCACTCATCCTTAGCACTCTGACCAGTTTTGACTCTGCAGTTATGTCTGCCCACTACAGGAAGCAGCTTCCAGAGTAATGCTGACAGCTAATTGGTGGGCATAACCACAATTATTTAGAAGGTGATCGGATGATAAATCAAGTCCATTTATAATAACAAAATAACAGCAAAAATAACAGCAGTGGCTTCCCCACTAGGGCTTGTGACTTCCCCGACACAGACTTTTGATCAGGTTTACAGCCCCAGATGTGGATTGCCTATTGTGGGGCAGGCCTGAAATCCAAAGAGAGAGTCCCTGGTTACCCCCTTAACAGAGTTCCACTTTGTAGCAGTGAGCATATATTTGCCTGGCCAGCAAGGAGCTGTTCTTTGTTGTCAGGTGCCAGCCAATGTCAGGGGCCTCTTCAGCCACTGGTGACAGTGTCACCATGGCTCATTTCACTTTTCACCCCCTCCTTATCTTGGTCTGTTTGCATTATCTGTCTCCACTGGGAGGGGAATCTCCGAGAACAAGGCTTTCCTCTTCCTTGTCCTCTCGGGGCTTTCTGTGATCATATCTGTGCAGGGTTGATGGGGACATACGAGGTGCTCATTACATGTTTGTTAAACCGACGATGCACTGACAGTCCTGTGATGGGGTAACTGTTGTATCATTGCCTCCCTCCTGTAGGTGCTTCTCTGCTTTGGGTCATGTGGCCAAAGCCCGGTTCCTACATGAGACCAATGAGATTGCAGATCAGGTGTCCAGGGAATATGCAAGTATCATCTCTTGACTCCTTCAGTCTCCCAAGCTGTAACTTGTTAGTTTTAGTTCTATGATTCATAGGTTTGTAGCCTCCCTACCTTCTTCTGCCCTGCCCACCCTGCATCCCTAAAGTTGGACCACTTTGGAATTGCTCGTGAAACCCCAGACTGCTAAGTCCCTTAAAGACCTTTAGCTTCCCAAGTCTGTTAGCCTCCATGTCCTCCTGGTCTCCTTTGACTGCCTGTGCTGAGGGACCAAACCTCCTTTTTCCCTGCAGGGAGGAGAAGGAACGGACTTCTATCAGGTTCGAGCTCGTCTAGCCATGCTGGAGAAGAACTACAAACTGGCCGAAATGATTTTCTTGGAACAGGTAATGGGAGAAAGGGGACCGGATGGAGGGGGGACTCCTGGGAGGGAAAAAGAATGAGACAGTGAGTCTTCCAAAAGTTTGAGGAGAACATTTAAGCTTAGAGAATTTATCCCATGCCTTCCTTAGGTTCCTCCCTGTGTTAGTCTTTATCTTGTCAAATATCCTCCTGTGGACTTTAATGTTTTCTTCTTTTAGAATGATGTCTTAGCTCCTCTCTACTCCAGAAACTGTCTTTGCAATTCTTGTGCATAGGGTTGATCCAAGATTTTGTGGAGCCCCAAGCTTATATAGTCTGAGGAGCCTTTAAGCTTCTTGTAGTTTATAGTAAATCTATCCCTGGAGCCAGGAGTGTAGCTCAGTGCTTGAGCATGGGCTTCAATTAACATGTGCAAGCTATTCGACTAAATTTCCAGTGCACTTGCAAGCATGAGTGCTCAAATGCATGCGCTCATGTGTGCGTGCACACACACACATATCTCCGCCAGGATGAGCAGGGCTCACTAGTATTGACCCTGCCTTCCTGGCATCCTTTCTTCCGTGTGGTACCCAGAACGCTGTCGAGGAGGCCATGGACATGTACCAGGAGCTACACCGCTGGGATGAGTGCATTGCTGTGGCTGAGGCTAAGGTAGTGCTTCTGTCCTCATCACAGTCATTCAGAATTAGGCTAACGAAGCCATGGGATCCGGAATGGGGTTGGGGCTGGCTGCTATGGTGAGGAATTTAACATACTGTGCCATGGAAAGAGCCACACTGTCACAGAGGAACCGGGAGAAATGGGAACTGGGAGGGCTAGATTCCTAGCTACCTCTGTACATGTCCAGGGACACCCAGCCCTGGAGAAGCTGCGCAGAGATTACTATCAGTGGTTAATGGACACACAGCAAGAGGAACGAGCAGGTGAACTTCAGGAGAGTCAAGGGGATGGGCTGGCAGCCATCAGCCTCTACCTCAAAGCTGGGCTCCCTGCCAAAGCTGCGAGGCTGGTGCTGACCCGAGAGGAGCTACTGGCCAATACGGAGCTGGTAGAACATATCACCACAGCCCTCATCAAGGGAGAGCTCTATGAAAGGGTATGTTGACTGCCTTTTCCTGGCTCTTCTCTCTAGGACCTGAACACCTCTCCTACCCAAAGGAAGCATGGGAAGGAACACATAACTCTTACTGACTGCAAGCATTCCTTCCTTGGGAAGCTGATTCTTGATTGTTTGTGTTCTGTGGGTTTCATTCACTCTAGCCATATATGTATTGACAGGCAGGTGATCTCTTTGAGAAGATTCGAAATCCACAGCGGGCCCTTGAGTGCTACTGTAAAGGCAATGCCTTCATGAAAGGTACTAGCCACTCATGACCGTTCCCTGACTCGGTACACTGTTGCCCATCCAGCACCCCTGCATCTCCCTGGGGACATCCTGCATCTCCCTGGGGACATCCTGCTTTCCTTTACTCCTCACCCATTGGCCATGCTTCATCCCTGCCCTGTTTTCCTGAGCCAAGTGCCTCTTTTGTCCTGGTAGCGGTTGAGCTGGCTCGACTGGCCTTCCCAGTGGAGGTGGTGAGGCTAGAGGAGGCCTGGGGGGACCACTTGGTGCAACAAAAGCAACTGGATGCAGCCATCAACCACTATATTGAAGCCAGGTATGGTGGCCCAGGGACAGAATGGAGGTTTGGGCATGAAGTGAGATTCTGAGCAAAGGAGGATGCCACAGCCTGAATGGAATCTTGGAACGTGGGTTAGAATGTGCTTGGGGGGGTCTCTGTACTCCCTCTCACCCTCCTCTTTCCTCATACACATTTAATGTCCTTCCTGACTGTGCCAGGTGCTCCATTAAAGCAATTGAGGCTGCCCTGGGTGCCCGCCAGTGGAAGAAGGCAATTTATATACTAGATCTCCAGGATCGGAACACTGCGTCTAAGTACTACCCTCGCGTAGCCCAGCACTACGCATCTCTGCAGGAGTATGAGGTGAGGAACAATCCCTTTCTGCAGCATGGAAGCCCTGCAGTGCAGGGTAGGAAGGAGGTTCCCCAGAACCACAAACAGCATCACTGTGAATGAGGTGTGAATGAGGAGATTCACTTCCCGGCTGCTGTCCCAGCTAGCTCAAGTGACTATGAATACCTTTAGCATAGCTAATATAGACCATCCTCCATGGCAGATGTGAGGTCCTTTAAATTCCACCAGATTGGATAGATGTCCCAGTGGTTAAGAGAACTAGTTATGCAACTACAAGAACCTAAGTTCAGATCCCAGCACCCACATGGTCTTGCACATACCTGTAGCCACAGAGCTGCGGAGTAAAGGCAAGAGGATTGCCTGCCTGAGGCTTCCTGGGTGCCAGCCCAGCTAAACCTTAAAAGCTCCAGCTTCAGAGAGAGACCCTGCCTCAAGGAAATAAAGCAGAGAGGGATAGAAGGATAACACTCTCTTCTTGCTTCTGTGTCTCCATTTGTACTTAACTCACTCACACAGGCACACACATGAACACAGACACATACACACTCTCACACACACATACCACACATATACACCATATATATCACACACACACACACACACACACACACCACACACATCACACACATGCACACTGTATATAATACACATACCACACACATACACACATACAGATACATACATAAAACATACATATACCATACACACACCATATATACCATACACATACTATATATATACCACACACACCATATACTCCACACATACCATATACACCACACATACACACACCACACACTACTGTCTTCACCCTGCTTTGATCTAGTCTTTTTCCTGGAAACAAAGTTCACTTATACTCACCTTTCCTTCAGCATCAATACAAGGTGGTATATCGGGCTTTGCACCATCTCAGTTGAATCTTTGCATTTCAGATTGCGGAGGAGCTCTACACCAAAGGAGACCGGACCAAAGATGCTATAGACATGTACACCCAGGCTGGCCGCTGGGAGCAAGCTCACAAGGTAGGGTGGGCAGTGTCCAAAGGGAAAGAACTCTGTGTTAATGGCCATGTTGCCACACAGCATGACAACCTCTGATACCTCCACTTTACTAGCTCCCTGAGAGCTAAGACTACTGAAATATACCCAAGACAACGTGGATCCCTAGCAACAGGGGAAATGAGGAAAGATCCCTGTTTCTTAGCCTGCAGCTCTGAAGAGAGCTGAGGGACTTGGGAGCCAGGCATTCTGAACTACTGCTCCAAAGCCCCTAGCCACTTGATCACTCTGTCCTCTCCCCTGCATTGAAGAGCTCAGTAAGTGGGAGTGTGTGGTGATGCACCCTGTGCCGTGCACAGGGCCTCAAAGTCTAGATCACACCTTAGCAGAATATAGTTCTTTGTCGGCTCCTAGTGGGCTGGCTGAGTAGAGCGGCAGTGATGAAATACCAGTGGTTGTTGGGAGAATTCAGGAGTCCACAAGCTGAGTTTCCCTCTGCTTGGTGGGAACCCACATGGCTCCGTGTTCACAGCTGGCCATGAAATGCATGCGACCAGAAGACGTGTCAGTGCTCTACATCACCCAGGCCCAGGAGATGGAGAAGCAGGGCAAGTACCGAGAGGCTGAGAGGTGAGTGTGCCGAGGAGCTGAGGCACCAGAGCTTGGAGAAGGGGTGGGCTTGAAGATGCGTAGCCTCTGCCCTGAAGCAGTAGCAGCAGGGATCCAGGCTCCTCCCCTGCCCTCAGGCTGTATGTGACAGTGGAGGAGCCGGATCTTGCCATCACCATGTTCAAAAAGCACAAGCTGTACGATGACATGATTCGCCTGGTGGGGAAGCACCATCCAGACCTCCTCAGCGACACACACCTTCACCTAGGCAAGGTGAGCCCTTCTGGCCCTGCCCACTCCTCCCTCCCTCCCAGCCAGAGTCCATCGCCCCTTCCATCCTGACGCACCATCCTACAGGAGCTGGAGGCAGAAGGCAGACTGCAAGAGGCTGAGTATCACTACCTTGAGGCCCAGGAATGGAAGGCAACTGTGAACATGTACCGGTCCAGCGGGCTTTGGGAGGAGGCCTACCGGGTAAGAAGTTCATGCTTCCCTCTCTCCTATTCCTACATGACTAATTTTAACTAAGGAGTATTTTTGTCAGAAGCATGACCACACCTATATAGACAAAATTTGATTTAAAATTGTAAAGGCTTACCAATTTTCTGAAACCCATCCTCTGCCCTTCAACATTGTAACCTAAGTAGAGACCTGACATTTGGCCCTCTCCAGAGCTCATTTAGAGCAGGGTCCTCGCCCTCATCATGACCGAGGCAGGAGGCCAGAGTTGACCAGGGGAAGCTCTGCCGTGGGCGATGCTGGAGCAGCTTTGCTTTACAGGTGGCCAAAGCCCACGGAGGGGCCAATGCCCACAAGCACGTGGCCTATCTCTGGGCGAAGAGCCTGGGAGGAGAGGCTGCCGTTAGACTGCTTAACAAGCTGGGACTTCTAGAGGCTGCGATTGACCATGCTGCTGACAACTGGTGGGTCTTGGATGAAGTTTCCTCTCCACTGGCTCTCTCCCTCCCAGAGCATCCTGTACACAGAGAAAGAAAACTGACATGCAAATGAAAAATAATTCCAAAAGCTGAGGCAAAAGCGAAAACATGTGAGCCTATAATTCTGGCATTTGGGGTGGAGGCAGAATGATCAGAGTTCAAGGACAGCTTTACCTACATCATAAGTTTGAGGCCGGCCTAGACTACATGAGACTATGCTCCAACTAAAACAGACAAACAGAAGAGTGAAAAGTTGACCATGTGTGACAATGCACACTTTAATCCCAGCATGGGAAACAGGCAGGTGGATCTCTGTAAATTCAAGGCAGCATGGTCTACTCAGCAGGTCCCAGAAGAGCCAGCCACAGTTAAATAGCAAAACCCCATCTCAGAAGAGAAAAAGAAAGAAAGAGAGAGAAAGAGAGAGGGGGGAAGGAAAGAAGGAAGAGAGGAAGGAAGGGAGGGAGAAGGATAGTAGAGCCCTTTGGAAGGAAGGTGTTTTACCAGTGGTTCTGAAGAGAAGGGCTGAGTGGGAGCAGCTTGAAAGACTGGGACTGTGCTAAGTCAGGAACATTTCTGGGTCATCAAAGCATAATTCGACATTCCATTTATACACACGGTACACATTTATACACATTTATCATTTATATGCATTCATATACTTATTTATATATTTATATATTTATGATCATGTCGCCCCAGCACCGTCTTATCCTCCATTCCGCTGTCCCCTTCTTATTCACAGCTAGTCTTCTCCCAACTGAGATAGTGATTGTTTGTCTGTGACCCACTGTGTTTAATTAGGATTGCCTGTATGAATGTGGGGAGGGGGTTATTTACTACAGCACAGGCAACCATCAGTGCTTTGTCTGTATTTCTTGAGCAAATATCACAAAGACCAGGAGCAGAGTCAGGGGCTGGGACCCAGGGGCTTGGGGAGCAGGGATGGGAGCTGCAGGAACCCTCTGCTAACCTCAGGAAAGCACAGAATTGTCCTGCCCCTCTTATCTGCCCTGTTCTTTAAATCTGCCCTGTTCTCCCTTCAGGGATCGTCTTTCCTATATTTTCTCTTGCCCTCTGTAAGTAGTAAACAAACTATACCAAATTGTCTATTTCAGCTCCTTTGAGTTTGCCTTTGAACTCTCTCGGCTAGCCCTCAAGCACAAAACCCCGGAGATTCATCTCAGATATGCCATGTACCTGGAAGATGAGGTACAGATGTAATTTTGCCCAGCTATACCCCTAACGTGGTGATTCTCAACCTGTGGGTCATGTCCCCTTTATGGGTGGTATTAGGTATCTGCACATCAGATGTTTACATGAGGAACCATAGCGGTAGCAAAATTACAGTTAGGAAGTAGCAATGAAAATAATGTTATGGTTGGGGTCACCAGAACATGCAGAACTGTATCAAAGGGCTGTGACATTAGCAGGGTTGAGAGCCACTGCAGATCACAGTGACCAGCTCAAATGTCTATCTCCTAATTGCTTGTAATACCAGGCTTCTCACCTCATGTGACTGTCCTTCTGTCTAGGGCAAATTTGAGGAGGCTGAAGCTGAATTCATCCGGGCTGGTAAACCCAAAGAAGCAGTCCTCATGTGAGTTTCCCCATTTCCTTTTTTGTCATCTATTTATGGGTATGGAAATGCATGCACATGTATGAAAATCAGATGACAACCTTCTAGAGTTGGTTCTCTCCTACCATGTGGTTTTAAGATTTGAATCAAGTCATCAGTTTTTGTGGCAAGTACCTTTACCCACTGAGCAGTCTCTCCAGCCCATGTCCTGGGATAGGATTAAGATACTGCTCCAGGATCTTTCATGGCCATTTACTTTCAAACCTAGTATAAACCTAGTAACCCCTCAGCTATACAACTGTCTGTCTCCCACTAGTGAAGCCTCAGTCCCGTACTCAACATCTTCTATGTCCCCCATGTTGGGTAGGTTTGTCCACAACCAGGACTGGGAAGCAGCTCAGCGTGTGGCTGAGGCCCACGATCCTGACAGTGTTGCTGAGGTACTTGTAGGTCAGGCTCGTGGGGCCTTGGAGGAGAAGGACTTTCAGAAGGCAGAAGGGTTACTGCTTCGGGCCCAGAGACCAGGGCTGGCTCTCAATTATTATAAGGTAAGTGATATTATAAAGTATAGTGATATTTGGGCCACAAAGGAAAGATGAATTGGTATGAGAAGCCACAGAGCTCCACACTGATTCCTGGTGACGTAAAAGGCATGGGAGGGGAGGGACAGGGATCTCTAAGAAGTCAACAGCCAGAGGAGCCTGTGTAGTGATAGGAAGCATTTGAGCCCTACTTCTGCCCTCCTGATACCTGAAAATCTGAGCAGGAGGCTGGACTCTGGAGCGATGCTCTGAGGATCTGCAAGGACTATGTGCCTGGCCAGCTAGAGGCCCTGCAGGAAGAGTATGAGCGAGAAGCTACCAAGAAGGGAGGCAGGTAAGAAACCTTATGCCGCCGGGCGGTGGTGGAGCACGCCTTTAATCCCAGCACTTGGGAGGCAGAGGCAGGTGGATTTCTGAGTTCGAGGCCAGCCTGGTCTACAGAGTGAGTTCCAGGACAGCCAGGGCTATACAGAGAAACCCTGTCTCGGGAAAAAAAAAAAAAGAAGAAGAAGAAGAAGCCTTATGCCCTGGCAGTGTTATCAGGACTCGGTGAGATGGACCATACTACCCCTCCCCAATCCTGATCATTAAATATTCTCATTCCCACAGAGGGGTAGAGGGACTTGTAGAACAAGCACGGCAGTGGGAACAGGCTGGAGAGTACAGCCGTGCAGTGGACTGCTACCTCAAAGTTCGAGACTCAGGAAGCAGCGGACTGATGGAGAAATGCTGGATGAAGGTGAGGCTCCAGACGACTCCTGCCCCTGATTCCCTTAAGTTCATTCCCACATGGTTGCCTGTATAAATACTCATCTTGATCCTCCAGTGCCTAATTTCAAGTAACAGATGTCTGCTAAGTACCTGTTGTGTATGCTAGAGCCAAGACGTCTGAAGACGAGATGAAGGACACACCCCGGACAGCCAGGGTTAGGGATTTAATTACTACCAAATCTGAGAAAAGACTCGAGTGTATGAAGTGGAGTGCAGGGACACCTGAGCTCTCTGTGGGCTGGAGCGGTGCAGAAGGTTTTCTGAGGAAGGAAAGAGAGCTTGAACAGTCGCTAGAAGGGCAGGCAGCTGCAGACCCAGGGCATAGGTGAAGGCCATGACAAACATGGGCTCCTCTTCAGCACCTCCACACAACAGTTAGCTCCTGCAAAGACGCCTGCCCTGCAGCAGACTAAGCAAACCCAATACTCTTCACCAATCCTAACACAGGTTATTAGGGACACAAAACTGAGTGTGTGTGTATAGATATGTCTGAGATGAGAAATTGGCTCAGTTACCTAAGGAGGCAAGTCCCAAGATCTGCATGGAGACTGGAAAGCAGGAAGCCCTGGGATGAGAAAGTGATGTACTTCCTGTATGAAAGCTGGAGACCCAAGAAGAGGTAGCATTTCAGTTCCAGCGTGAGGGCAGGAAAACGCCAGTGTCCCAGTTTAGACAACATTTGGGCAGGAAGAGTTTCTTTTACTCGGGGTAAAGTAAACCTTGTGTTCAGTTCCAACTCTTAGCCGATTGGATGAAGCCCGTCTGCACTGGGAAGGTCCATCTGCCTTACAATTTAAACACTAGCCTCACCCAAGTACATCCTCACAGAAACACCCAAAGTGTCTGAACATTACCTATAGTCCATGTAGTTCCATTATCACGAAGAACTAAGCAATAAGTCAACCCATTTATTATCTTTGCGATTGGATGTATGGTTTAAATGATGTACTTTGGGTACCAGGAAATGTGCTACTAGGAATCTGAGGGGCTGAGGGGTAACTGGCTTTCTAAACTAAATATTGTTGTGTTGATGCCCTTACGTTTCTGGGGTCATTGAATAGGTCCCAGGAGGTGGAACAAAAGAAGGAAAGCGGCTGATGTTTGGTTGTGAGATTTGAGACTTTAATCAGCAACCACTGATCATCCAATAATTTTTATGCTGTTTACTAAAGTCTGGGCAGGGCTGTACTTTCAGACTGGTCACAGGATGGCTCTCAGGATGGGGAGAAAGCATGCTTTAAGGCTTGCAGAGTTTGGCAGGCCAAGAAAGAGAAGGGAAAGGGCAGAGGGATTAATCTAGACTAGCTAAGCTGGATCCGATGGAAATTAAAATCAGTGATGATGTGAACATCCCTGTGGAAACAGTTAAGCAAAGCTGTCAAAACCATCCATATCAGCTCTGCCTGCTGGAAACATAATACAAGGTACATATGTTTTATTTCGGGGGGGGTTGTTTGTTTTTGTTTTGAGATTTATTTATTTTATATATGTGAGTACACTGTCACTGTCTTCAGACACACCAGAAGAGGGCATCAGATCCCATTACAGATGGTTGTGAGCCACCTTGTGGTTGCTGGGAATTGAACTCAGGACCTCTGGAAGAGCAGTCAGTGCTCTTAACTGCTAAGCCATGTCTCCAGCCCATTATTTCAGCTTTTTAATACCTGTTTTTGATTAAGGTTAAAGAAAAGAAGCTAGGCAGTGGTGGCGCACGCCTTTAATCCCAGCACTTGGGAGACAGAGGCAGGTGGATTTCTGAGTTCGAGGCCAGCCTGGTCTACAGAGTGAGTTCCAGGACAGCCAGGGCTATACAGGGAAACCTGTCTCGAAAACAAAAACAAAACAAAAACAAACAAACAAACAAAAAAACGAAAAGAGAGAGTTGGACTGGAGGTCTTGAGTTCAGTTCCCAGCAACCACATGGTGGCTCACAGCCATGTTTAAAAATTAACATCTTGTACTGGAGAGATGGCTCAGAGGTTATGAGCACTTGCTGTTCTCCCAGAGGACTCAGACTATGTTCCTAGCACCCACATGATAGCTCATATCCCCAGTTCTAGAGGATCCGTTGCCTGCTTCTAGCCTCTATAGGCACCAGACACACAGACAAAAATGCAGTTAAAACACCCATACTCATAACATAAAAATAAATAAAATCTTTAAAATATTGACATTTCAGTGTAATACTCATTGAACTTAATATTATTGGTATGTGCCTTTTTTTTTTTTTTTTACTGTTTTCAAAATCCAGTAAACATGAATAGTCTGAGGCTCACAAATAGTTGCAGGATCTCTGCAATTCTCGTTTCTATTTTCTCTATACTTTGCTACTGAGAGTCTATCTTTGACAAAGAAAATACAGTGACCTCAGACAGCAAAGAAAGCATCTGAAGAGCTACAGGGAGTCAGATGGGCTGTCGGCTGGGTTCAGTGGTGCTCACGGGCCAGGCTTAGCCCCGTGGGGGTTGGGGGGAGATGAGGAAGGACCCCAAGGAAGCTGGAAGCTGGAGGAGAACAAGGCAAAGCCCACGAAGTCTTGGCATGCTTCATTTCCACCCATTTCCAGTCTCTGTTCATCCACTCAGGCGGCTGAACTGTCCATCAAGTTCCTGCCTCCCCAGCGCAGTCTGGAAGTCATTCGGGTTGTAGGGCCCCAGCTGATTGGAATTGGAAAGCACAGTGCTGTAAGTAGGAACTGACCTGATCCCACATGCACAGGTGGGACGATGACGCATCACCCAGGGGTGGCAGGGGTGGCAAGGTTCTGGGCAGAAGGAGGGTGGGAGTTCACCAAGTTGGGGGAGACCATTGCATCAGATGAAAAGATAGCTTTCACTCTGATATCCCACTGTGCAGGCTGCAGAACTCTATCTGAACCTGGACCTTGTCAAAGAAGCAATCGATGCTTTCATTGAGGGTGAAGAGTGGAACAAGGCCAAGCGTGTGGCCAAAGAGCTAGATCCCCGGTAACCGCTAGGAGCTTCGCTTTTTAGTTCTTTTTGTAAACCAAGGTTGGGGGCTGGGGGAGGGGAGTTCTTCTGGGGAGGATGTGGTGTCCCAGGACTGTGACATTAGCAATCTCCGTATATCTTCCCAGGTATGAAGACTATGTGGATCAGCATTATAAGGAGTTCCTCAAGAACCAGGGCAAAGTGGATTCGGTAAGGCTCGCACATTAGGAGGAAATGTAGGAAGAGTCTGACTAGGAGGCTGAACTCTGGCCTAGCGTATAGAAGGCACAGGGTTCAGTTCCTAGCAGCACAGAAGCAAGAAGAATAAAAGCCAAATTCCTGAAGCGTAGTGGAGATCCCCCTCCCCCGTCCCCTCAGCTCATCGTTTTATTGCTCCACAGCTGGTGGGTGTGGACGTTGTCGCTGCCCTGGACCTGTATGTGGAGCAGGGCCAGTGGGATAAATGCATTGAAACAGCTACCAAGCAGGTACTGCGCCTCTTCCCCTCCCCTCTCGATCCCCTCCCTGCTTCTGAGCTTCTCCTCTCTTCACCAGCGGCCAGTCTGCAAAGGCCCCTAATGCACAGCAGTCTTCCGTACTCTTGATACTGTGGTCACAATTGTACGTGCCCTTTACTCCCTTAACAAATCCCTGCTCTCTTGTCGCTGCCAGTTCTTACTGGTCTGAGCCTTGTCTGTGCTTCTCCCACCACCACTCCAAACAGAACTACAAGATTCTACACAAGTATGTGGCTTTGTACGCAACTCATCTGATCCGAGAAGGTGGCTATGCCCAGGCACTGGCCCTCTATGTGCAACACGGAGCCCCTGCCAACCCACAGGTACAGCCTTCTTGGGAATTAATTCTGCAGCCTCTAAAAGCAGCCATGCTTTCAATCATCTCTAGAGATCCTGTCCTTAGCAGCAAGCCCAGAATTCTGTCCTGAGACACACAGACTCCTTGGAGGATTTACTCTTTGAAGAAGTACTCAAACAGCTGTCTGTGTTCTTATGCAAAACACACTGACTTGTCTGTCAAAGAGGAAATGTGGACACCCATCAAGGGTCATTACTGACTTCCTTCTCCTATGGAGAATCAGAGATCTCTAGACTATCAGCCTGTTAACATGGTGGCTGTTCTCACATTTATATATCCGCCCACACTGACTATATTTTGTTGTGGGTTTTGTTTGTTTTTTAAGTCAGATCTCATGTAGGCGAGGCCAGCCTAGAACTCACTATGGAGCCTGGTATAACCTTGAGATCCTGGTCTTCCTGCCAAAATAGTTTTCTTTCTCTCCTTCCTTTCTTTCTTTCTCTCTTTCTTTCTTTTAAGATTTATTTATCTTATGTATATAAGTACACTTGTCACTGTCTTCACACATACCAGAAGAGGGTATCGGATCCCATTACAGATAGCTGTGAGCCACCATGTGGTTGCTGGGAATTGAACTCAGGACCTCTGGAAGAGCAACTAGTGCTCTTAACCTCTGAGCCATCTCTTCAGACCCAAAATAGTTTTCTTAACAACTCTGTCTTCTCCATCAGTCTAAGCACAGCTCCTATACAAACAGCTCGCTCACTCAGGTCCTCTTTCCCCTTGACCTCTAGAATTTCAACATCTACAAAAGGATCTTCACTGACATGGTGAGCTCTCCTGGGACCAACAATGCTGAGGCCTACCATAGCTGGGCCGATCTTCGGGATGTCCTCTTCAATCTGGTAAGGAAGGAGGGTCAGTAATGAAATAACAGGGATCATTTCTTGTCCCTGTCCTGGTCTCAGTCCAAATGGCCAGCAGTAATCACTAACCCTCCATGGCTTTCCTCTACCCCAGAGCCTAGCTCCCCCCTCCCTTTTCTAGTGTGAAAACCTGGTGAAGTCCAGCGAGGCAAACTCCGCAGCTCATGAGGAGTTTGAGATGATGCTGTTGATTGCTCATTACTACGCTACACGATCTGCAGCCCAGAGTATCAAACAGCTGGTAAGATGCAGCCAGGGAGATTCACAGAGCCCTCAGTCACAAGGATGCACATTCAGAGCTATGAAGCTAAACAAGTCCCAGTTCTGGATCTTGGAGTGTAGGCCCTTAGACTGCCATGTTTCGCCCTGTGCTTCTCGGTGTAATCAGTCTGTAACACTTGCTGAGTTTCTTCTCATACTGCTCTGACCACCCTGTGCCCACAGCCCTACCACCCTCAATATATTGAAACATTCCGATGTCGTGATAGTTTTTATGTACCTCCTATAAGTACACAGACTTTTGTCTTACTTGATTGTAACTGTGTATACATTTTGTGTACTTGGTCAAATTCTAGACATAGAAGGAACCCTGTACATAATCTGGGCCCAGTTACACTGTACTGATGAAAACTAAGACGGGAATAGCTTAAGACCTAGAGAGGCTCAAAACTGGCTTTCTAGCTCCATGCTGCCTTAGTTACAGGCTCACTGGTCTGGTCGCTCAGTTGACCATAGGACCAGGATCATAAACCTTTAATCCACAGGAAACCGTAGCTGCCAGGCTTTCCGTTTCGCTCTTGCGCCACACCCAGTTACTACCTGCAGACAAGGCCTTTTATGAAGCAGGCACTGCTGCCAAGGTGAGCTGGGACAAGGGAAGGGTGGGGCTGAAGAAACAAGGAAATATGAAGTGGGAAGATGGAGACTCCCTTGAGCAAAGCTGAGTACTGGGCTGGTGTTGAAGAGGTCACAGTCTCTGTCTCTTCCTGGAGTGCCCTAACACCCAGAGAAATAGGACTCAAGCTCACAGCCATTTGCAACTTTTCTGTTACAGGAAGTTGGCTGGGAGAACATGGCTTTCATTTTCCTCAACCGATTTTTGGACTTGACTGATGTAAGTAAGGTAACTGTCCAGAGATCCAGAGCCTTTGCCTGTCACGAGCTGTTCCTATCTCATGATTGACTGCTCTGCCCACAGGCAATCGAAGAAGGGACCCTGGATGCGCTGGACCACTCAGATTTTCAGGATACAGACATTCCCTTTGAGGTGCCACTACCAGCCAAGCAGCATGTCCCGGTAAGGGAGCAGGACTGGAGAAGGGAAAGGTGTCACCAGTGGGTTGGCACTGAGAAGGAAGGATGGCTCCGGGTTGCTATCCTTCAGTGACATCAGCCCTCACTACTACTCAGGGAAAGCAGAGACAGTGCTGTGTCCCTCAGATCCCAGGGGGACTATTTATAGCTGATGTGTGGCCGAGGACTTAGGAAGGCCCCTGTCCTCACCCTATATGAAGCTAGCGCTACCTCTCTTCCCCAGGAGGCTCAAAGAGAAGAAGTTCGAGACTGGGTGCTCACAGTCTCTATGGACCAGAGGCTGGAGCAGGTTTTGCCCCGGGATGAGCGTGGTGTCTATGAGGCTTCCCTAGTAGCAGCGAGCACTGGAGTGCGGGCGCTGCCCTGCCTCATTACAGGTACAGAACCCACACGGTCCCATAATCCCATGGCAAGTAGAAAGGAGAGGAAAGCAGCAGCAGCCAAACTTCACTTCCCCACCAGGGCCACCCCTCCCTACTCCCAGGTGCCTGTAACCCTTCCCCTTCTCTTGCACTTCCAACTCTCTTGCAAACGCTGTCTTTTCACCTTCTACCACAGGTTACCCCATTTTGAGGAACAAAATTGAATTTAAGCGGCCTGGGAAGGCTGCTAACAAAGACAACTGGAACAAGTTTCTTATGGCCATCAAGGTTAGAGAAGGAGTCTTAAAAGCAAAGGAAATAGTGTGTGTGTGTGGGGGGGGGGGGTTGCTGCAAATAGGATTCTCAAAAACCTGCTCCTGATGACAACCAGGAGCTAATGGCTCCTCTCCTGCTCTCCACTTTGCTCACAGACCTCCCACAGCCCTGTCTGCCAGGATGTGCTCAAGTTCATCAGCCAGTGGTGTGGCGGGCTCCCCAGCACCAGCTTTTCCTTTCAGTGACGGTGGAGCGGAGAAGTGTTAGATCTGTTCCTCATTAAAGTTCTGTGAGTAGTGGAGACTGCTGCATTCTTTGCTCAACATCTCTCCACACAGCACACTGCCTTTTACTCTAAAAAGAACTGTAATCAGGCAGAAGACAAAACACAAGTTCTTTTATTACAATTATTTATACCACCCTAAGGTCAGGGCCCTGTGCATAGTAGAAAACACCTGTGGACTGCACCTCAGAAGAGTCCCTGCCTGTTAAAGAAAAGAGACAACCTGAGTCAAGAGAGCAAGCAACATAGCAAAAGGTTAGCCCCAGTCCCCAAGGATGCATCCCACCCCAGGGCCTTCACCTGTCCTAAACCCAGGTTTTCTGTAAGGCCTGGAAATCCTGATGGGGGTGGAGCAGCTGCACATTCTCCTGCCTTTTACACTCTGCAAGTTCAAGCTCTGTCAGTTCCTCCAGCTGCAGCAAAGGAGGGAGTTCAGTAATTGGATCTTAAATGACCCACCAGTTCCTTTTCAACGCAACCAGGGTATGGAATGAGCCCTTCCTGTTCCTTTTCCTTACCTGTCCCTGCAACCCTTCCTTCCTGCAGGGCCCAATGCCCCGTAGCGTGAGTGCAGCCACACAACAGTACACAGAAAGAGCAGCCTCGGCTGCAGACATGGACAGAGAAGGGATCCAGAGAGCCAAGGCTGTATCCTAAAACCCAAAATAACAAAGAGGACAAGTCTTGGCAAGAGGCAGGGGCAGCACACAGGGCAAAGGTGAGGGCCAGAGTTTCTCCAACCGCAAGAATAAACCTCACATAAATTCTTGTGGGATCAAAGGGGCAGTCAGTGTGCCCAGGCCCCTGGTCCAGCGGTATCGAAGGATCCATCAGTCCTGGATGGCAATCAGCAATAAGACGGCGGCCACCATTGGCAACAGTGAGCGATACAGCCAGGAGGAGGCCCATGGAGCAGGCAGCAGACAAGAACAGGTTCACCAAGGCCAGCGTCAGCAGGGCCCAGTGCTAGTGGGGTAGAAGACCTGGGTAAACAGCCTGTTTAAGTTTCCCCGTGATACTTCAGTTTCTCTATTTGAGGCTCCTGCCATCGGTAGTCCGCTGAGACACCTCCTCCACCCCTCTCACCAGTCGTGGGCGAAGAAGGTTCCTGGATGCCAAGAGGGCCACAAGTCCCACGGAAATGCTCTGCGGAAGCAACAAGCCTATGGCTTACTGTCTCTCAGCGCCCCAGTCCAGCCCGCCTTGCCTGTCTCCGCGACGCTCACCAGTAGTCCCGAACCCACAGAAATGACATTAGCTGTGGTGTACTCAGGAGTGACCGCGCCACGGGGGTTGGCCACGTGCCGCAGGACGGTACCATGCAGCACAGCTCCCACCAGGAGGTTCACGTGGCCCACCAGGATCAGCGCGAGTCCCACGCGCATCAGCCGCCTGGGCCCTCGGACGGCGTCTGCAAGGTAGGGGGAGGGGCAGATAGCAGCCGTGCAGGGCGGGGCCACTCAGCCTCGGCCTGAGGACCACAGGTGCGGACCAAAGCCACAACTTACCGAAGACGCAGACGCGGCAGCACCTCATCGTGGCCGCTCTGCCCCCTCTGCCCGTCTGCTCAACCTGGACCCGCTGCGCCCCGACGCCGACCTGAGGCCCAGCTTCCGCGAAGCCGCAGGCAGCTCCACCTGGGCCCGCCCCGCCCCCGACCTAAGGCCCGGGGCCGCCCTACCTGAGCCCGCCCCGCCTCCACCAGGGCAACTGCGCCACCCACTGAGCCCCAAGCACAACACAAGATGCTTTAGCAAAAAGTAGACTTTATTACAGCAGCAACTGAGGCGATTCGAATGGCCCCCCGGGGCCACCCCTGCAGCACCACCTTTCTCTCCCGCCCATGCGCCCCAGCGGGATTGTAGAACTCAGCTCCCCCAATGCCCGTGGGCCTCCTGTCCACACAGGCAGGGCAGGAGCCAGCAGGTCAGCTACTAGCCCCCCAGCTAGAAGGTGGCTGCTGAGAAGGCCCAGGCCCACGTCTGTGCAAAACAAGTAAACAAAGTGCAGAGGGGAGGAAGAGAGGGGAAGGGGCAGGATGATACTCAACCAGGGAGCCCCTAAAGCCCTCCTGAATAGTATGGGGAAGAAGGGGCTTCACAGGGTAATACTGACTGGGGACAGGGGACAGGAGGACTGCAGCATGCCCAGGGACAGCCACAGCTTGGCTAGGGGCCTGGCTCCAGTGAGCTCTATGAGGAGACGGTGACAGCGGCTGAGTTGAGTGTGCTGTTCCTGGCAAAGTTGAACTTGTTGAGCGTCTCCTCCAGCAGAGAAGTCAGGCGGCTCTGATCAGCCTAGGGAAGCAGCTCAGTGAGGCAGGGCTCAGAGAAGGCAGGGAGGCACCCAGGGGACAGAAGGCAGGACCCTCACCTCACTAATGAAGCCCAGCTGCACCAGCTCCGCTGCCAAGTCAGGGATGTTCTCATCTGACAGAAAAACAGGAGGGGTGCTTGAGTACAGTCTGAGAGGATCCGAAACCCTGTGAATCACTGTCTCTGTCCCTGACATGTCCCCTCAAAGGATAAGGCTCACAGACTCTCCCTCCTCCAAAAGAAAGGAGACCCTCACTTGGCATCAGGTCACAGCTCAGGTGCCGGTTCAGTTTGTCCTCCAGCTTCAGCAGAAGTGTTAGCTAGAGAAAGGACAATCAGAATGAGGCTCCTCCTCCCAAGGGCCCTGTGATAGGTAGGCCCTGTGCAGCCCTGGCCCTGAGCTTACATGGTGTCTGACTCCCTCCTCCACTGATTCGATGTTGCACTGCATCAGCACCACCTGGACGGGACAGACATGGAGGACGGTCCTTAACGACTACTCAGTAACACACCAACACCTGACACTTGGCAGCCCACAGGAGAGAACGGTGGCCAGCAGGAAGAAATGCATTCCATACAGGACAGTGCCTTAGCTAAGTAAGAGGTCTCTACCCCCATGGCCAAAAGTACAGTCCCCACCTTGCGCGTCTCCACTTCAGCTGGCTCAGGAGTTGGAGTCTTGACAGAAGGGGGCACAACAGGTGATGTCACCTCCTCCTGCTGTGGCTGCTGAGGCCGAGGTAGCCCAAAGGCTGTCAGAGGGTAGATCCCATTCCTGGTGGGAGATGACATAAGTCACATGAACTCTGTGAAAGCCTCAAGACACCTGTCCCTACTTCCTCCCAGAAGCCCACTCTCTCTCACCTGACATCTTCAAGGAATTTGTCTAATTCCAGGGCTGGTGACTGAGAGTACCTGGAAGAAAAAGGAAACAGCATGAGTCTCGGATAGTAGTGACCAATCTGTCCCTATAGACCCTCTCAGCTGGCTACTCACAAAGTCTGAACTGGTTCTCGTCCTGGCCCTGCAGGAATTTCAGCTAGTACAGCACTGGTATCCATGTTTTTGGTGATCTCCTCTAGAGCGTTCTCTGGGATCATGTCTGGTGGGTATAATGGGGTGGAATATCATGTAAAGACAGACTTATTCACACTAGGCAGAGAGGACGGGGCTTAAGAATCCCTTTGGTAACAGAAAGCTAAAGACAACATGCCAGTGATGGAAGCCTCACATTGATGAAAACTCCTAGTAATCTTTGTATAGCCTGGATTCAGTCCCAGGACCAATTCCTAGTAGGGACTAGGGGACTCACGTTGGTGTCCCACGATACAGTGAGCAGCAAGAAGCTTGAGTGAGGGCACTTCAAACAGTGCTGGGTGGAACAGAAGTTCTCTGGCTGTTGGTCTCCGAGCAGGCTCAGACTGCAGGCACTTTTGAATAAACTCCTGTAAGAGAACAAGAAACTGGAACCGGCATCTGGCAAGACTCTCACATCTGTGTAACTTTCATTAGATGTAGCAAAATGTTTCCTACATGCTTGGAATTCAAACTTATTGGGGAAACATGGATATATTTCCTGACAAGGCTTTATATCTATATGGTAATGTATAAACTTATCTTTCTAAGTGTTTCTGGTTTTTCTTCCTAGACATTTTGTTTTTTCAAGACAGGGTCTCATTACATGGCTTAAGCTGGCCTGGAACTCACTGTATAGTCCAGGTTGTCTCTGAACTCGCAATCCTCCTGCCTCAGCCTCTGAAGTGCTGAGATTATAGGCATGAGCTACCATGCCTGGCTTTGGTATTACTTTTCCACTCTCCAACCACACAACCACAACTGTGTTTGGTTTTGGAGACAAGGTCTGTCTGTGTATCCCTGGCTGTCCTGGCACTCCCTCTGTAGACTAGGCTGGCCTTGAACTCACAGAGACCTGCCTTCCAAGTGCTGGGATTAAGAGGTGCACCATTACTGCCCAGCGTACCCAGCATTGCTTTTTAATTTGATGTTTAAACTTAGTATTTCTTTTTATTGTCTTTGTTTTTATTAGCTTATTCATGGCCAACTTTTCTTGGATCTTTGCCAAATTTAGCTTTTCCCTTCACAGACTTAGCAAACTATTATGGTCAGTAATAGTCACCGTCTTCTTTTGTCTCCCAAGCCTATTAGCACAACTTCCTTTGTCTACAACTCCTAATTGCCCACGTTTCCTCTAACCATTCCACCTTCTTTTCTGCCTCAGGTCAAATCCCAGGCTAATATGCTTCCTTAGTTTCAGTTTTAATGGACAACAAAGTCACAGACCTGATCGTTCACCTAATAATCCCACCCTAATGTGAACTAGAACCTGGGTTCACTTTGACTCTTAACTCTTCCATTAGACTTCTATTTCTTGCTCCTCACTACTGTCTCTGATTAACATTAACCGTTCCTTTCTCATTTTGTTTTTGAGACAGGGTCTAATGTAGCCCAGGCTAGCTTTGAACTCACTATGTAGGGGAGGATGACCTTGAACTCCTGATCCTTCTATCTCTACCTCCCAAGTGCTGGGATTATAGATGTATTGCCTCCATGCCTGACCTGAGTTAACTGTTCTTATTCAGACTGTCCTGTCTCACTATAGTTAAGCTACATACCTGGGTCATAATTCCTTTAAATCTTAACTCATTAAACATAAAATCCCAAATGACTAGTTTGATATTAAAATGACAAGATACGCTATAAAAGTGTGTTGCAACTGCTTGAGGTAACCACCCAATCAGCTCACCTCTACGTAGAGACACTTAACTAGCAAACAATTTTAACTTCCATACTATCTGAACCCTTAGCCTCTGTGCCTAGAGTCAAAAATTTCTTACAGGAAAAGTGTACTTTAGTCTTTTCTATTTTGATTCTCTTCTTTTGCTTTTAGAACATTTGGGACCTCTTGAGAGGTACAATGAACTTGAAAGTCAGTTAAGGAGGATGTTGATCTGATGGATGAGTCTTACCCTCTGTAGTGAGTCTTCTAGTAGCTGGATGGCACTGCTGATGGCTTCCTGTGGCACATATGAGGACTCGCCATTGCCCTGAATCTCCAGCACTGCCATCTGTAGTGAGGAAAGCCCAAAGGAACAACTGAGATCTGAGACATAAACCGACAAATACAGTGCTCTCACAATCCTTCCCCCAAGACCAGCATTTCCCTTTTCATGTTCTGATTTCATGTTTTGTGTCTCTCCCTTCCCTCAGGTCTCCTCACCTCCAATGCACACATGCCAAAGGAGTAGATGTCCACTGCTGTTGTCACATTTGTGACTTCTAGAGAAAATAGATGGTTATTAGGAGAGAGAATGAATTGGGGGTAACAAATGGCAGGCATACTTGAAAACAAATACAATGTATGCAAGTCCAGAAAGCTGGCGTTGTTGTTGTATTATCCCTGTATCTCACTCAGGTTATAAAGTATAACACACCAAGCTTTGGGATGGCTCTGGCAGGGGCTGATCATTCGCAGAGGGAGTAGGTGGAGAGGGACAATCTGTCTAAGGGACTTTTTTTTTTAAAGCTGAGTTTGAGGATGGAGCAGAGAGACAAGGCTACCTCACCTCCATATTCTGGTGCAAAAAAGTGTAGGTTCTTCTGTTCTTCCCGGCAAGTCTTCACATGATTGTTGATAGTGTCAGGAGCCACTAGGAGTAGGGAGACACCCACAATCTGACCACTATCACCACCAAAGCATGGTCTTACTCTACAGAGTCTCCAAAAGCCATTTTTCTCCTGAAGCCTCCTTTCTAATACTCAACAGACACCAACTATCACTTTCCCAATGCTGAGCTACAGACTACATATAAACACCACCTAGGTCCCCTTTCTGCAGCCTCTATTTCTCATCTAAGGTCCCTTAACTCAGGAACAACAAAGTCTATGCACTGTACAAACAGACACTGAGGGCTGTAGGTATCACATAACACAGTCAGAGGAAAACCTTTCATTTGGAACCTGCTCATCTTTTCAAAGTCCCAGATCTATGAAATCCGCAGCTCCACAAAAATGCTAGTTTTAATTAATTCATCAACCCTGCAATTAACATAAAAATACAGGCAGCCCTTCCTACTATGAGACAACTGGAGATCTCAAGAGCCTGGATAAGAAAGGCAAAGCAACATTAACATAGATCCAAGGAGCTAGCCTCTTCCTTACCCATTTGTGATGACTGAAACTTAAAAAACCCAAAAATCTCAAAAGTGAACCAATGCCCTAAAATCAGTTTCACTTTTTAATCTACCAAAACTTTTTAGACCCTTGTCTAAAACCGTATTCCTCAACAAAACCTACTGCAAGACTGACCGAGGAACCAGGGTCAGGCCCAAGCTAGACTCACTGATCATAACAATGACTACACATCACAGAGCACAGTATGATTTAGGAGCCAGCCTGATGATGAAGGGGATATGACTCTTAAGAGGAAGTGTCCAGCCAGGCAGAATCCACAGGAAACAAGCAGGTTACAAAGGGGCAAGCAGGTGGAGCAGGGCAAAAGCTAAGCAGGCATAGTTAGGCATGGGAAGCAGGGAACAGGCCTTGCTCCCACGACTGCATGCACTGGGCAGCCGCAGAGGGAGCAAAGGGAGCACAAACAGAGCCCCAAATGGGGCAGAGGGAGCTCTCACCATTAGCAAAAATCCTATGAAAGACTGTTGGGAACAGAGCAGCCCGTAAGCGGGAGGGAGGAAAACAGAGAAAAGTTGTGAGCGATGGAGCAGCCAAGCCCCAGACAAATGGTAACCACACACAGACATGACACGGCACACAGGAATGTCACTGCACACAGAGACACAGCAAATGAAAACACTCACAGCAGGCACAGTCTGGAACCTTTTTGGTAGGGTTTGGCCCAAAGTGCTAGAGTCAGACCTCATATCCATCTCTTCCCCTTCCCCAGCCTCCTATCAACGTCTCTGTATTATTCCAAAGTTCTCTCCAAGAAGTACAAGATTGTACACCCTAACTCATTTCCACTAATTGGCCTCCCTAAGAATTACCTCGACTAAAAGCCTATCTATTATCACCAGCTCACACCTCAAAGTGTGCTGTTCTCCCATGCCTTTTATCTTACCCCCATGGCTCCCAAATTCCCGAGGCTCCCCTGCCCAGAATCTCTCCCTCCCCTCACCAGAGCCAATCTTGATGAGTCCGTTGTGCTGGATGAAGATGGTGTCACAGGTCAGGTTCCCATGGATGATGGGAGGGTCACAGGAGTGCAGGTAGCTGTGGGGGCACTGGGCTGTTAGAGGGGCCACTAGGAAATTAAGGGCAGGGGGAACCCAAGGGTTAAGAGGAGTAAGGGCCAGCTCTCCTCATCATCATGATAATCCCTATACTCTGACTCTCCATTACGCCAGGTATCTTAAATAGGATAAGCACTAGGAGAAAAGGTTGGGACACTGATGGTTAGGACACCAGGAAGACCCCACAAGGAGGCCTAATCTTGTCAGCATGGGACTCAAAGAAACTGGGGAGAGGCAGAATAGAAAAGCAGAGTAGTGCCTTGCAATATGTGTAAGGAACTAAATCAGGAGAGACTGGGGAAAAAAACCAACCAGATATTACCTACCTTAGGGCAGAGAGGATCTGTGTACACCAGCGTTTCCAAGCCTGGAAAAGTTTGGTCCCAGGATCAGCAGTAATATTCTCTCTCTCTCCCCCTTCCTTCTCCCCTCTCTACCCACCCTCCTTTCTCTCTCTCTCTCTCTCCCCCCGCCCCGATAAATATAGACATAAAGTGTATATATATGGACCTTATATCTAGATATAGATATCCATATCCTTAGCTGTCCTGAAACTATGTAGACCACATTGGTCTCAAACTCTTGGCCTTCTGAATCAAAGACATGCAACAAACACCACAACTAGCGACGCTCTCCTCTCTTAGCCTTCCCACTAGTCCTTGCCATTCTTAACTGGCTTCATAATTTCCACCATCTTTTTAAACCCCTAAACAAAGGCTAAAACTATCTCTAGCTTCTCTTCGTACCTTTTCATTCATCGTCTTGTGGTTCTTTTTGGTTTTCTTCAGAAACTGCTTAAGACTCCCAGAGGACATGTATTCTGTGATGAAAATCACCTAGGAAAGCAAAGCACTTACTATTAAGGCACTATACTAGAAAGTATCTCTAACCTGGTGACTTTTACACCAGATACATACTAACCTGTGTTTTTATAACTTTCCTTTTCTTTAGTATCACTTTCTTAGGCTTAAGAACATGATGAGAACTAAGAAGCAAGCAAATGTCCACTTCTCTCCATCTTTAACTGGGAAACACTACAGGTATCAGATGAAACCCTACTCTCCCTGACACAACAGTAGATTTCAGTTCTTGTGTCAAAATTACCTAGTTTCAACCTCTGAATGTAAAATGGACAATAAATGAACCTGTTCTCTGACAAGTTCAGAAAACACTAGGCAGAAAAATCTTACCCTGGCCTTGTTTTCTTTAACATCAGCCCAATACTTGTGAAACTTAACAATGTTAAGATGTTCCAGCTGAATCAGATTATCAAACACTGCACGGACCTTTTCCTGGAGCAAGAGAGACAGAGGGACAACAGAGTGCACAAATCACTGTAATAATATAAAAAGCCATTGCCTAC